TCGTGACAGATTCATCTAGAATTAACCATGATGGGGTTTCCAAGGAGAGCCAACTAGAAGTCTGCCTGATAGAGTGTATATTGCTAGCAATAGGCCCAAATAGTCCCCATTAGTAACTAATCGTCTTCCCTCAACACAAATGAGTTAAATGTACCCACACAGACAAATTTATTGTAAAATCATCCTCTTAATTGCCATCATCTTCATCATCATATCAGCCATTAACTGTCCACTGTTGAACATAACCCTTCCCCATAGGGGGAAAGGGATTGTTAGTAATAGAAACTAAGAATCCCATTGCTAATAATATACCCAACCAGTTCGACCTCCCCGCGGTTCCCCCTGGAAACTATCATGGTTAATTCCTGATTAATTCATCATGATAGGCTAACTGGCCTGTTTTCATTCTCACCTATTACCCTTCACTGGTGCATTTTCACTCATCAAAAAAACCCCTTTCCAATAATTTGTGATGCTAGTAATTTTCACGTTTGGTAGGCGGTATGGCAACAGCAGTTAGCCTTTGGTGATGTTTTAAGAGGGACGCTGCTGCCCAGTCCTTGTCAATTAAATTTCCTTAGTCGCCTCTTACGACACCTACGGGAAAAAAGAGGTTTAATTGGCATATTCCACCAATTTAAACCAAACACAATCTTAAACTGGGCGTCACATTCCATAGGTGAGTACTTTAATGTATGTGTGTATGTTATTGTCTCATAAGTCATGCAATTTTCGAAATATTGTTATGAATGAATCATTTCTACTTGTATTTAGTACATTGAATCGAATTCTTTAAATGTCCTGCCCTACTTGCTCATGGGCTATTTTTTTTTTTTTGTTATTTATATTCATCCCGCGTTTCTAAACTAGTCGAAAACATCTTTTATGTTCATTCCATTATGGTGAATGTTTATATTTGTTATGAATCATACTGCTTATGACCGTTTTAGTGGTATATATGAATCACAACCTACAGCGCTTTATGATTTTACAGTTAATTTACATAATAGATAATTGAATAGGAAGATGCACGCGTGAAGGAAGATTTATGAATCATGTACAGTTTATTTTTACCAGAGGGAGACTTTGTACAAAAGTCGATTGCTTGGGTACCTCTGTCCCATTTGTGTTTCCACCGTGAAGCAGTTGTTTTTGCATGGCTGTGTTTCGGTTTGAAGGGTGGGATATGGCGTGAATTTACTGGGTACAGAGGAATAACATCTGAGTCCTCAGGAATGGCAACGCATGGGAGGTATCATGGGCGAAACAGTATACTCTGTTATGTCCATGGTACTGCTCATGTCTATAGGCGACGGTTACCACTTTCCATCAGGTGGGCCGTCAGCTTGTTTGCCATTTTAAGTTGTATAAAAAATAAATAAAAAAAAAACATCATAACCTTCAAGAAAAAATGTATACCTTTTTAAAAGGCCGCATACCTGCAATGTCTTTGATGTTGTGGGTGGTAGTCCGCTTACCATCAGGTGAGCCGCATGCTCGTTTGCCCACTATGTTATAAAAAAAGATGTTACCTGTGCACTGCTGAAGCTTCCCCCATAATGATGGCTCCGCCAGTAGTTGCCACGCTTGGCAGGTGGGTTGGCAATCACAGTTAGCGTTTGATGATATTTAAGAGAGACGCTGCTGCCAATTGCGCATTCATTAAGTTCCCTTAGTCGCCTCTTACGACACCCATGGAAAAGGAAGGGGTGGTCCATTCTACGAGTATATCGGAACCACACGGCGTTAGGGGAATAAGTCGGTATAATTCAAAACTAAACTTATAGACTAATTTATAGCAACATACTGAAATAATTATACATAATAATACATAAGAAATACTGATATGATAATGATGATGATGATAACCCTAACAATCTGTATTCTAAGAAACCAAACAACAAACATTTCGGTGCACCACCACCCGGTAAACCCAAATTATTTTAGTTACAAAAAATCACTTGATAACAGTAACTAAGTTAAAAACTGTACTCATTTCCATCCAATTAATGCTATTAAATAATAAAAAATATTGAAAAATATGATTATTTTCTATAAATAAAACAAGAAATCTGTTCATAAGATACAGCTGGTGGCAAAGTAAGGTTATAGGGCGAAGACACCACATTTAGATAATAAAATTATGCATAAACAAGTTATCAAACGATAGGTAACTACGAGCATAATACCTAATTATATTTCACCAATTTATCTTTGTAGTCGTTAACACAGATTCTGCATAAAATAGTCATATTTTCAAATAATAATATGTCTCTCAATAGTGATGTCTCTAAACAGTAATATACATATCTACTCAGTAGCCCATTGGTTCCATAGAAAATCATACATACATACATACAGAACCCAGCGACCCGGAGGTAGTTGCCTCCGGAGATGCAGCCGGGGTAGAGGGGTTTACCCCGAGACCCCTACCTCACCCGCCTACACTACAAAAGGCGGGCAAGAAGACCCGATGATGATGATGATGACATACATACATATCTGTCATGCCTGTCTCCCATTAGGGTAGGCAGAAACAATGAAACGCCAAATGCTTCGATTCAAACAAACCTCTTTCGCTTCTTCCACATTCATCAATCTTTTCATACATGCTCGCCGGTTACGGGTACTTTTAATTTGGCCCTTCTTCAGCACGTCGCCTATTTGGTCGACATACGTCCGTCTATGTCGGCCCCTACCGACATCATAGAAAATCATAGCAAAAAATATATATCCAGAGAGAGAAGACGAGGCTCCACGCCACTACTACCAACAATAACGAAGATTTAAGAAGACCACGCCACACCAACAGGAGAGAACTTGAACCCACTGACCCAGGGGTTATATTATCTGTGCCCCGGGGTATTCACCCCCGGAGTTAGAGCTGGAGCAAACGTCTTCGCGCCGAGGCCCTCACCTAACGCCAATTCATACGTTGCCTTTCCGGTGTACGAAGTATTATAATAGTTCTATGCCCTGTAATTTTATTCTATCTGAAGTAATCTAAATTCTTATCTGAAGGAGGAATCAAGAATCTCTGGAATCGTCGTGCATTCATGAGACGAATTATAAAAGTGCAGGAAACAAAAGATGTAAGTATAGAAATATTTAGTTGTAGTAGAAATCTTAGTTTAGTATCTCGGATCTCTCTGCCAACCGTGCAAGGGGCTTGGTGTGAACGTAAATAGATACATATCCCACCTTTCAAACCGAAACAAAGTCGGTTAGCTATCTAAACTCGAGTGGGATTAAGTAATTTTCAATATATGAGACTATCATTTCCACAAACGTTAAAGAACTGCTAATTTATAGCTTAACTTAGTACCGTTAATTTTTAATTCTCTAAGTCAAAGTGTTAAAGTGTGGATATACCTCCTACTATGGTGTGGTTTCCATTCGGGGGTTTACACGTAAATCTATCACGTCATCACATTTATGAAATACGTATCGCATTCATAATACTCCTGGGTCTCTAGAATTCCAGGAAACGATAAAAAGGATCCTTAATTGATCTCTATCGACTGTAAATATTTTACTGAAATAGATGTTATTTTACGGAACTCCATATCACTGGCATTTGATTAGAATTAATCTTTCGGCAATTTGGGTGCCAAACCGTTAACACTAAACTTCGAGCAGCGATCTAATAATTTGTCTGAAAACTCCTCGTTCAGAGGCGAAACGTGTGTTGACGAAATGACAGTCGACGATTGAGGACTAGTATGGAAGGTTGTAGAACTTCTGGTAGTAATAATGGTGGTCAATCTTCGAGTTTTTACAGTCACACACATACTAATGGTACCGGAGTTAAAGAAGATAATTCTAATCAAGTAACCGACTATCATCGCCATGTGATCACAGCATAGTATAGGCCACTCCTTCCTTTCGGGTGGGTGTCGTAAGAGGCGACTAAGGGAGGGCAAGGGATGGACAGCAGTGTCCCTCTTAAAACATCTCCTAAACTTAACTGCAGTTGCCAATCCGCCTGCCAATCGTGGCAAATACTGGCAAAATCCACCAAAGAGTAGGATGATGAACCTTCTGACTGTCACAAGTTGCTTCGTTCATTTTTATAAATAAACTAGATTTTACCCTGGTCTTCATGCATATGACTGAAATTTGTTAATGATATTTTTTTAATATAAAATAAATAAAAATTTTTTTTTTCTAAAACCTAACTTAAAAACAGCAGTTTTATTTCAGTTAATCGATTACATACAAAGTTACTGGGTGAGTTCTTGCTAAGCTACCACGTAAACGGGTTGATTGTGTGGTCACCATGCTAAATTGATGTTCACGAGAGTCGCTACCCATCTTTAGATTTGAGATCATTATTAAAGTAAATATCACTTTAGCAATTGGTAAGGAAAACATGTGTATGACCACATGTGAGGTCTATGTTCATATTATATAATACACGAGTAAATTTAATAATGTTGATGCATTACTTTATATTATTATTATTATACAATAATTCTCATCTCCTCTCTTAAGAAGAGGAGATGGAAACTAACCCCCGGCAAAATTACAGTCAGCCAGGGTTCAGGGTCCCTGGGAGAGAAACCGGCGTACAATGTGGGCAGTATCTAAGAGCACCGCTTTCTGCATCTTTCCCGGGAGTGAGCCGCCTCGCAATCCCAACCGTCTGAGATGTTATTCCATACTGGTTGGGATAAGACCGTTCACCCACAAAACGATTGGAATGATTTCGGTGGACGTCACCCCCCACATTTCGGTCACCTCGTGAGCCAAGTTGAGATATATTCTCTTTTTCTCGGTTTCGGCTTTCACGAGGTTCTCGTCGTGCGGTATGGTGACATCCACCAAGAACACCATCGAGAGTGCCCGATCCATCGCCACGATATTAGGTTTGTTCGCAAGAACTGTCCTCTAGTAGACATAGATGGAAAAATATTCACTCTATTAAGGAAAAACTGTTGGTAGTCACTAAGTCCACTGTTGAAAACATTGCTGAATTAAAAACATAGTTAGAAAATAGTGATAATTTTATTATAACAAATATACACGGTAAGACTAGTATCAAATATTTATGAAGGCAGTGTGCGGCGCCCGCGCACCGGACGCCACATCTGTATCAACGGCGGATGCTGCAAGCGGACGACTTGGCGCGCTGGATCTTCTTTAACAGGATCTAAACAAACATAATGCATTTTTATAACTGGAACAGAACTAGTTCATAGTTCTGTTCCTCATCACAGACTACACCGTGACGTCCATGAGCCTTAGCCAGATTATTTTCTGGTAATATTAAACTCGTAAAAAGTATTTAACTGATTTTAAACATTCTTTCGCCTATAGAAAGCAACAAAATCAGCTAGTAGCATAAGCAGTAATTTATTTAAAAAAAAATTGAAGACTGAAAATCTTTAATTAAGACTTCCTAGCTTTCTACCTGTAGGAAGCCGTGACGAAGCGCTAATATGATAGCAAAGTAAGGGCCATCGGGTTGTTTAGTATATGTACCCCCAGACATGTATTTTCGAAGCTTCGTTCGCATCCTGGTTTTGGCACTAGACAATTCCAGACACGGGCCAATACCCCCAACGCCCTCAAATGCGCGTTTGATACTGCAGCATAGATTTTTCTTTATACCACTAGGGTGACAAACAAGCATAAGGCCCACATACTGGTAAGCGGTTACCATAACCTATGAACGCCTGCAATACAAGGGGTATTACGCGCCTTGCCCACCCTGAAGAAACCTCCTTACCTCTTTTTTTAAGAACCCCATACTGTAGTCTCACGAAAATACCTCGACAAGGAACCCATTTCATAACCTGAGCGTTCGTGAAAGAAAATATCTCTGAAACCACGCTATACGTGACCATCTAGACTCTAAGATTTAAGGGTGAACTCCTTGTCAATGGCGAACTGTACAATGATAGAAAGTGGAATATTACTGTTATAGGTTATTAACCATAAAGTATCTACTAAAGGTATATTGAAAAATTGATATTGCTCTTACCATGTTATCATAATCGATCTGCCTCTGCTGCTTCTTCCTGGACACAGCCGCCGGCGGCATCGCCTTCCTGGCGGGCTGCTCCCGTGGCGGGATGGAAGACTTCCTCGTGTTCCTGGCGCTTAGAATTTTCGTCAGCAATATATGATTGTGACGCTCGATCTCCCTAAGTCTGTCATTCGTAAACGACATGTTGATTCGCTTGGTCGGTGGCACCGATACGGAACTGTAATTTATAGAAGAAAAAACCCTTCTAATATGCAACTTATTTCTTTTAAAAAAAAGGGACAGGGAGGTTTCGTAAGCATCAGCAAAGCGCACGTAATGTCTTTGATATCGCAGACGTTCATAGGCTACGGTTGGGCCGTATGTTTTCTTGCCACCTCAGTGAAAACTTAAATATATAATAAACAAGTTGACGACCCACCTGATGGAAAACGATCACCATCGCCTATATACATGAACAGCATTATAGACATAAAAAAATATGCAGTAACACCCGTGGATAGAAATTTTTTACTCTTTCACACAGAAACGAATAAACGAATTTGAATTCAATTTAGTAGATAGATAGATAGATACTCTTTATTGTTTCCTCCAAAAGATTACAATAGTAAACTTATTATAGATACACACAGATAGAAACCTTTATACATATATGAATAAACTCACATTTATAATATAAAGTACAGATATAAGAATTACAATTGATAAGTAAATGACGAGATTGTCCACCAATAAATGACAATTTTCAATTAATTTATCAATAAGCATATAGTTTTCAATTAAATATCTAATTGCATAAAGTTAATTACTACATTTCGAAGCCGAGAGAGTTCTGACGATGCTAGTGTTATGACGCAGATATAGATTGCGGAATATAGTGATAATAAATTGTCCCTTAAGTAACTATTTTTTTTTAAGATATTACTGTCCACTGCTGCATATAGCCGCACCCATAATGGAAGTTTTGCCAGTAAAATGCGTGTAAATGATATTTTAAGCTGCCATCTCTCCACCATAAGCTCCCTTACTCGACTCTTACGACACCTATGGCAAAGGAAGGGGAGGCCTATTCTATACTGGGACCTACACGACTAACTGTTTACATGGTTTCTATTTATTCATTTATTTAACTTTAGTACGCCTAGAAAGTGTAAATGGCGGACTTATCACCACACGACGTTAAGGAATAACAGATTAAGGAAGAGCAATGGGATCTAACATTCTTACTACTAACAATATACTCTATTAGGTCGATCTCCACGTGGTTCCCCCTTAAAACCATCATGAGTCTTGTCACGATGTGTTAAATGCCCTGCTTTCATCTTCACCTGTCATCTCTAACCGGTACCTCGTCAGTGTATCCTAATAACGCAAGCAGATTTACCATTCCATTATCCCTCATTAAAAAAAATGCAAACTATGTTACCAACTAATCCATTTTAATCCCATAAAAAAAAACTATCTGTTGATATTAGATAAAAGCAAATCAAACAAATATTTATTGAGTTAATATCCAAATATTTTTAAAACCAATACCCATTACTCTCAAAGCTTAAGTTCCAAATAAAACATTTTAAACAGCAAATCCATTTAATTAATTGAAAAAATGTGTCTAATTTCATTGGTGTCAAATAAAAAATAAATAAAAGGACAGAACATATAACGTTCTCTATAAAAATGAATAAATAAAATTAAAAGTTATATCTCGATCATTTCAAAATTGCTGGATTAATTTGACTATTTTTTTAATAATTCTATCATTGTTTTTTTTTAATGGATGAAAATGGAATGGTCAACCCACCTGCGCTATCGGGATACGCTGGCTGGGCACCAGTGAGGGATGATTGGTGAGGATGAAAAGGCAGATAAGTTAGCCCATCGTGATGAATTCATCAAAAATTAACCACGATGGTTTCCAGGGGGAACCGCGTGGAGGTCGACCTGTTAGGATGTATTGCTAGTGATGGGTGTGTTGGATCTCACTACTAACAATCCCTGCCCCCTATCATTGGTTATAGAAAACATAATTGAATTCGGCCAGATACCTATCGGATCGTCTTTACACATACCGCCATCATATAGCTAAGCATAGAACTCGGACATAGATCGGTCAGAAGCCCTAACCGTCCTGACCTACCTATATCCATTTAGTTTATAGTAAAAAAAATAATTTGGCCAGATGTTTGTCGAGTCAGGTATACAAATACCGTCAAATATACTGATGAATTCATCATGATGGGCTAACTGGTCTGTTTTCATTCTCATCTATCACCCTTCACTGGTGCTCCGCCAGCGTATCCCGTTAGCGCAGGCGGGGTTACCATACCATTTTCACCCATCAAAAAAAACCGTCAAATACAGAATTCCTGGGAGGAAAGGGATTGTTAGTAATAGAGACTAAGAATCCCATTGCTAGAAATATACCCAACCAGATCGACCTCCTTGCGGTTCCCCCTGGAAACTATTATGGTTAATTCCTGAATGAAATTCATCATGATGGGCTAACTGGCCTGTTTTCATTCTCATCTATCACCCTTCACTGGTGCTCCGCCAGCGTATCCCGTTAGCGCAGGCGGGGTTACCATTCCATTTTCAACCATAAAAAAAAAATACAGAACTCCTTCATAGACCTCTATAAGAAAGATTCCTAACCGACTTACATCCACTGACTCCCTGCTACAGATTCGAGGCCATCAGTCGTATCTAGTGTGGGGTACACCTCATTAAGGGTACGTATATGACCCGACCATATAGTAGATCATAGATAATACACTTACAAATAAATATTGACGTCACTGGATGATAAGAAGCGAGTGTATAGTTGACATAATGCGAATAACATTTACGGGTCATGTGTCTAAAACTCTATTAACTTAATTAATTAAATATATAAATCAATATTATGTATAAATGTTATCGATTTGTAGGGTGGGATATGGCGTGAATTTACAGGGTATAGTGGAATAACACCTAAGTCCTCAGGAATGGTAACGCATGGGGGGTAACATGGGCGAAACAGTATATGTCTGTTATGTCTGTTATGTCCATGGTACTGCTCATGTCTATAGGCGACGGTTACCGTTTTACATCAGGTGGACTGTCAGCTTGTTTGCCATTCTAAGTTGTATAAAAAATCAATCGAGGGGGAGAGGAGTCCTGAAATGCGACCTAAGCTCCCAATTATATGCATAAAGGCGTCTAATTGCTGCGACCAGTCCTTTAATAATTACTTAAGTAATTCCTTAGTACAGATTTAAAAAGTTATTAATTATACAGTTACTAATTTCGTTAATACGTCATTAACAAATTTTAAATATCATTAAATAATATATCATTAGTGTTAATTAAATAAACTTCTCTAAGTGTGGCAGTAAATGTGCCTTTTTTTGACGCTTAAATAATAAGTAAGTATCTACTTGTACAAAAAATAATTTACATTACTACATACCTAATTAAAGGTACATACCTAATTCAGATACCAATCTTTTTGAGGCATAGCTTTATATTTCAAATATTTATTATATAAATAAATAAGCAAATAAACTCATACAAACTCTCACACAAATAAATTTCAATTTATTTTCGTTAAAAACATCTATTTTCCGAACCGACTTCAAATAAAAGTAGGTTCTCAATTGGGTAGTATTTTTTTTTTATATTTGTTACCTCATAACTCTATTAGTTCTAAATCGATTTGGAATTTTTTTTTATCTGAAAGAGTACAGGTACTTACAAATTGATCCCATAGAAATTTTATCAAAATTGGTTCAGTAATTTAATTTTAGATCAAAATAACTGGTTTTGTCACAATTGAAGCGTTTTTTTTTTTTTGTGGGACTCAATCTTTAATCATCAATGTCATTTTTCAGTCTACAATTGCACATTTTTTTAAATTTATTAATGCAACTTACCCATAATTAGATCTGCTCGTGATCGACGCTGGAGGCTTACTGGACATGGAAGAATGACTTTTAGACAGTTTCACTGACGATTGACTGAACTCTTTACTTGCACTGCCGCTGTCCGACTTCAGTGACTTCAATTCAGTTTTTATCGATTCCTCCTCATCACTTTTGTCGTCTTCGAACTCATCAGAGTACGCATCATCATCATTGTTATAGGATTTAGATTTCTCGTGTTCCGAACCCGAGTCATAGACGCATGTTTCGACGCAGATATTTGGCGGTCGTTTCACAGCATCCACGATGCATCCCATCTCCGACAATTCCTTGGACAGTTCATCGACCTCGTTGTTGTTCTCCTCTCGGTAACACTGTTTAGTTTTATTCCTGTTAGAGTCGCCAGATGAGAACTCTGTGTCTATGTATCCATTGTCTAATTTATTGTCTCTGTGTGACATGGTGCGGACAAGCGTGCAATTAGTTATAGTATTACCGCTAAAAAAGGAAAAATAAATTACGTTCAAGATACTACGCAAGCGATAGTAATTCTAAATTTCTAGTTCTAATAATACTAAGTACCTAACTACAAAACCCAATTGTTGAATGAGTACTATTAAGGTGACCAACTATACTCATTTACTGAGTTTTGTACTCCTTTTTCGCAAACCGTACTCTTTTTAAATATTGTACTCAGAAAGTACGCATTTGTATTTCTAAAACATATTTTTTTACATTTAAATTATTTTGACAGTGATTTGAATTTCATTACAATTTTAGTAGAACATGAAAATTTAAAAGTTTAAAATAGAAATTTCCTTAAGTTGTCCAAGCACTAATGCTGCTGTTGAAAGGGTATTTTCACTAGGGAATGATTATTGGCGCAGTGAGAAGTCGCAACTTTCCGTAAAAACATTATCTGCCGTCTTAACAGACAAATATGCAAAATGAAAGTTGTTCGGATGTGACTACATTATTAGACGAACATCCTCATTTAGCAGTAATATCCCACTCCGAAAAAAAAATGTTTTTAAAAGAAAATAAAGTTTTTATCTTTTTTTTTTACCTATAAAATACTTGCAAAGTGTACTCTTTTTGAACAAAAAATAGTTAGTCACCTTAGCACTATCTACTCTGATAGCGATGTATCCTATCAGGTATCATATCCATGTGATCCTCGCTGGAATCCATCGTGGTTAATCCTGGTAAATTCGTCACTATGGGCCTACTAATCTGATTTCATCCTCATTTATCATCATTCTCTGATACTCCGCCAGCATGTGTTAATAGCGTAAGCGAAGATATCGTTCCATTTTTATCCCATTAAAAAATACAAACACAACAAAAATAACTTTAAAAATAAAGATCATAAAGTCCGTTACAAATTAAAAAATTGTCATATGAATTACTGTTTATTAGGATATAGTGTCTAAACGTAGAATAGAAAATATGTAGACGCCTGAAATGTTATTATAGCAATATTGCAGAAAATACTAGTTCAGTGTTCTCGATTAGGCGTAAGAAAAAATCATATTATTATCTATAATATTATAGCCTTAACTCATTAAAAATTGACTATAAGAGTATGTATTTGTTATCTGAGTATCTACCGACTAATAATTTTAATACTTATTTGTATATAGAGCTAAATTAACTAGTTCTACAAGTAGATAAGTAAATGCGTCATTTTTACAATACGTAATAAATACTTTGAATCCTATGTTTTAAAAAAATATAAAAAAGACAGCAAGCTCGCAATTATTATATACCTACGATGTAACAAACTATTAAATGAAGCACTATACACTATACAAAAGAAACTGTACGGCACAAAAAGAAAATCTTCGAAAATGTTAGCGACAATACGTCTTTGACAAAAATGATGTTTTCGTTTTCTCTCTTACGGTTTTATCCTCGGTCATAAACAGCCAGTGGTATCGCGTACAATTATATATAAAACTATAATTAAAAGTTTTGTAACAAAATCGTAGAATTTATACATCAAAACAGTAATAAATAAGTTTAATCAGAAAATCAATAACTACCTAGCGACAACCAAACAAATATCGCGCCTTTTGTTACAGTTTGTGTCCGTTTCTATGATAACGTTTCGTTATCTAGTAAAGCATACTGATAAATATTATTTTAGAATATTACTAACCGCGCTATTACGCAAATAGTTTATATAATATTTAAGAAAATATTAAATATTAAGCATCTGCCTACTACTTAATCAATTTTTTTTTTATTATTTAATAGGTAAGGTAAGTCGAAAGCATAGACAAAGGATAATTATTATTAAATTTGATAGATCCACTTTGACATTTGGCATATCATTCATTCAATATTTTACGTAAAATTCCAGACAAATTATCTTTTTGAAGACTAGGCAGCATGGTCTCCGACCTTAGCCTGTTCCAAACGTAACAAACGTACTAAAAAAAAAAAAAAAAATCAATCTATCCATAGTCTGTGATCTATTTTATTAATGATGATTGATTAAATTTTTTTTCTAATATTACAGAAAATAACTGTTAATAAAATAACAAATTATCTTTCTGAAGACTAGGCAGCATGGTCTCCGACCTTAGCCTGTTCCAAACGGAACAAACGTACTAAAAAAAAAATCAATATTTTACTCTTATATACATTTTTTTATATTGGAGTTTCGGCTTGGAAACGTTCTTTTAATTTGTTCTTTTAATTAGCAGTGCTGCCAGATTCAAAGTGTGACAGGGCTACTGAATAGTCATTACAAACTATAAAGAAAATAAACAGCAAAATTTTCATAATTTACTAATTTTTTGTATCACTAATAGAACCTAAACAAAAAAGATAGCAACTTTTAAAATGTATCTGCCAGTATCTACACATTTAGTGGCATCATCTTAATATTATGTGTCTGTGTATTATATCACGTCATATATAAGTGCTCGATATATCGAGCACTTGTATATGACGTGATGTTGTTGTGATTGGTGATATCTAGTAAGATTATTATTATTTTTTATTTTATGCGAAAAACGTAATCAGTATGTCCTAGTATATGGTATCAAAATGTAACAGAAAGAACACAGGAAATAGGTACAATACAGACACGTAACGGTAAAAATTAATTAAGCGATTTTAAGCTACATTGTATCAAAAAATTTGGGCAACTGGAGTAGTTGGAGTCCAATTTTTGTCGAAATTTGTTAATTTTAGCTGGCAACACTGTTTATTAGATTTATTTTATTTCACTCACTTCAAAAAAGAAGGAACCAAAGGGGAGAGAAAGGCGGGAAACTCGAATAAGAACAAGCGGGTTTTTTAAATTTTTTTTATTAATTTATTAAAACTATCTCTATCAATTCTTATTATTGAATAAAATATTATATTTTCACTAAATTCAGCGACAGTCAAATAATTAGCATTCATGGGGAAGCGCAGTTGTAGAAAAAGGAAAAAAAAAGATGACGATTCAGGTGATGTAGACCAAGAACCTTGTAATGACAAGGATATATATTCGGAAGATACTTCTACTGACTCAGAATCTGAAATTGATAAGGCCGATAAGTATAAACCTTACTACGTCACAGATTATATTAGAAGATATCCCGAGGAATCCCCTGGGACAGAATTTGTTGTCTTTGTAGAATCCTCAGATAGTCAGAAAACCATTGGATCCAGAGACTTGCTCTCACTCTCCTCCTGTTTAAAACGATTTAATAAAGGGGTAACTTATCTTAGATCTATAAATAAATTCAAAATCGGAGTATACTTTCAAAAGCCAGACTTAGCCAATGCTTTTTTAAATAATAAAACTTTTTTAAATGACTACCATTTTAAGGCCAGTATTCCTGCTTCTTCAACAGAAGTTACAGGCGTTATTAGAAATGTACCTACAAATATATCTAATAAAAAAATATATACTATGATATCGAGTTCTAAGAAAATTATTGCTATTAAAAGAATTTTAAGAAAAAATACCTTGACTCATGGATATGTGTTACAGCCAACTCTAACCGTGACAATTACTTTTGCTGCATCTGTATTACCTGAATATCTGGATATTGGAGGTTGGCGCCACAATGTCACTCCATATATACCACCAGTTAAACAATGCTACCGGTGCTTGAGGTATGGACATTTAGCTAAATTCTGTAAGAATTCTGAGCGTTGCAGCATCTGCAAAGGTGAGCATAATTATAAAACTTGTACAACTGGAATGGAAAACGCTATTTGTGTACACTGCAATGGAAATCACACAAGTGTATCACCGCAATGCCCTGTTAAACAAAAGAAAATTGCTGAAAATAGATCTAAATTCAGACCTGCTTCTTTTGGAGATATACTTAGCACTGAAATATTTCCTAAACTGGGTAACAAACCTAAAAAAAATGTAGACCTAATTTCAATTCTAAATTCTGATAACAAGAGTTTATCACTTTTAATAGAAAGCATAATCAAACTTATTTCACTACATAACACAAAGAACACATCTATTAACACTAAAAGTGTTTTGAATGTGTTATATGATACTTTTGGTAATAGACCTATTTCACAAAATTCAATCGAGACCAATTAACTATCATACAGTGGAACGCTCAGAGCCTACTGAGCAATCGACATATTTTTACACAATTTTTAAATGAACATCATATTCACATTGCTCTCATCTCAGAAACTTGGCTAAAACCACATTACAAATTAAAAATTAAAGATTATTGTATAGAACGAAATGATTGTGGTAATAACCACAATGGAGTAGCGATTATTATACATAATAGTATTAGATATAAAAAACTTCACTCTTTTTTCGACAATTCTTTGCAAACTATAGCTATTAGTATTGAAGTTAATAATTCTTGGTATTCAGTTGCCAGTATTTACTGTCCTACCAATAGTACACCTAGTTTTACTAAAGCCAAATTTAAGTTCTTTTTGGAGTCTCTTCCTAAACCCACTATCATATCTGGAGATTTAAATGCACATCATACTATGTGGGGTTGTACCTCCACTAATACAAGAGGTAAAGACATTCTTGATTGTTTAGATGAATGTAATTTGGTACTATTAAATGATAAGCAAGTTACTACTGTTGGCTCTCATATTTGGAGACCCAATGGCCTTGATTTAACTATGGTATCCCCATCCATATCATTAAAATGCGAGTGGTCGGTTCATGATGATCCGTTAGGAAGTTATCACCTGCCGACTTTTACTAAAATAAACACAAAGAACTCTTCATCAACTCCGTCAGGTGAACAACATGCTCCTATAGATGAAGTTAATAAACTTTTGTTAAATCGTATAAACCTACGTCTCGTTAATTGGGATCTTTATTCTGAAACTGTTAATCGATTACTTTTGGATTTCGAGTATGATGTCAAACAATTACAATAGAACTGTAAAATTATTTTGACAGCTGTGGAACGTTCCGTTCCACGTAGGAACTTATCAAATAGCGGTGCAAATACTTCAAAGAGGCACAAACATATTGCAGTACCTTGGTGGAATAACAGGTGTGCGACAGCTGTCAATGATAGTAAAGCGGCTTACCTTAGGTTTAAACAAAATCCAACTCTCGATAATTACATAAATTTTAAAAGAGTTCAAGCTGTTAAAAAGTTAGTAATTAAGCAAGTAAGACAACAGGGGTGGCAGGAATTTTGTTCCAAATTTAATAGATTAACACCAATTTCCACTGTTTGGCAAAATATGAGAAAACTAAATTCAAAACATCGTCAAAATCATTTTAAAGATATATCATGGGTCAATGATTTTTTACGCAAATATACTCCTGATTTTGTACACTCACCTTTTGATGACAAACAGTTTAATTCTGTTAATTCATGCCCAAAATTTCTCACTGACCCATTCTCAATTGATGAAATATCCAGTGCAGTAAAATCTAGAAAAGATACAGCTAGTGGCCTTGATCGCTTAACATACAATATGTTTCGATTGCTGAATAAAATAAACCTTACTAAACTCTTACAAATTTTTAACGATTTATGGAAGGACTGTATTATCCCACCAGAATGGAAAATGGATTGTTTGATTCCAGTAATTAAACCCGGTAAAGATCCTACAAATTTCGACTCCTATAGACCTATAACATTGACGTCCTGTGCAGGCAAATTATTCGAACAATTAATTAAACAGCGTTTAGAGTTCTTTATTGAAAGTAATAGTATATTACCATCGAATCAATTTGGTTTTCGCCGTGGATATTCAGCGCGCGAAAGTTTAGCGAACTTCTATGTCGACCTTAGTACTGCTTTGAATAACGATGAATATGTTCTATCTGTTTTTTTAGATGTCGTAGGAGCTTTTAACAATGTAAATTTAACAGTTCTATCTTCGATTCTATCCTCATTTCTTCCAATGAAACTTATCGAATGGATTTATAATTTTCTTAGTAATAGAGAAGTGTATGTTAAAGTAAATAGTAAATTAATAGGACCTAGGTTAAGCTCTAAAGGAGTATGTCAAGGTGGTATTTTAAGCCCGCTACTATATATTTTATATATCTATAAACTTAATTCAGTTTTAGGAAACAGTGTGAACAACTTGCAATTTGCCGATGATTTATTAATTTATATAAAAGGAAAGAATATTATTGATATGCAATTAGTGTTAAATGAGTCATTAAAAAGACTTGAGAAATATTTTTCTCTTCTTTCCCTCGATATTAGTTTAACCAAAAGTAAAGTAGTTGTTTTTCATCAAGTTCATAAATATGTTCCATTAATGAATATTATATATAATAATCAAACTCTTCCAACAGACTGTAGCGTTAAATTTCTGGGGGTAATTTTTCATCAAAATTTAAAATGGGATCTATACGTTGATTGCTTAGTAGATCGTGCTTTAAGAGCCACTAATATAATAAGATCTGTAATTGGTCGTAACTGGGGAGCTGATCCTAAAATTATCCTTTTACTTTACAAATCTCTTGTTAGAAGTAATTTTGATTACGCTTTCTTTTGTTATGCCTCAGAACATAAATTAGTAGAAAAACTCGAAAAAATTCAAAATATGAATTTAAGACTTATTTTAGGTGCTATGTATACTTCTCCAATTATCTCAATGCAAGTAGAATGTAATTTGCCTCCTATCCTTCTTCGTTTCGAATACCTAAAACTCAAATTTCTCTTCAAAGTTTTTTCAGTTTCCAATAACCCACTCATACTCAAATTATTAAATTGCCCCATTTCTATGTTTTTGAATAAAACTATTGTCAATGATTTGAATTTACGAGATGAATATAACACCTATAGTAGTAAGATACTTCCTTGTTATAATGGCCTTTATGAGAGTAAGTTCTGTAAGATCAAAATTGTTATACGTAAAGACATAAAAGAAAAGCACGATATGTATGAGACTTTATCAGAATTTATTGACTACAGGCAGATATATACAGATGGTTCCAAAAATGCACTTAGCACTTCAGTGGCTTTTTACGATTTGTCAAATAGATTTGGTCACGGTTATAAAATTTCAACTTTGGCTAGTATTTACACAGCAGAAGCAAAAGCTATATTTTTAGCATTAGAATACATAGAAAAACAGGTACTATATTCGAAATGGATTATAATTACAGATAGTATGAGTGTTCTTATGGCATTAAAAAATAACACATTCATTTCATCATCAAACTACTTAATTCAAGAAATTCGTAATAAATATTATCATCTCTGTACTATATATGGAAAAGATATTATCTTCATCTGGACCCCTTCACATATTGGAGTGTTTGGGAATGAACAAGTAGACACTTTGGCTAAAATTATTAATTCAAGTGCTGCTCGTGTTCAAGATTTACCCCTTTGTTACTCAGATTGTAGTATTGGAATACATAAAATCGTTACAACTAAATGGGAGGAGCATTGGACTCAAATATTACAGACTAAAGGCAAATGGTACCGCAAAATTAATTGGCGTATTGGAAAACCGTGGTTCTGCAAAGGAAAGGACACAAACAGAAAATTTTACACCAATATTTGTAGATTACGAATCGGCCACGGACATTTCAACGAACACCTGCACCGAATGGGCATGATCGCTTCCCCATCATGCACATGGTGTAACTCAAATACAGCCCAATCTCTACATCACCTTTTTTTTTGATTGCTCTGAATTTGTCATTCAAAGACACATTATGTTTGACGAACTTAGGATTATCTTCAAAAAACCCGAAAATATCCCGCACTCAATCCCGCTTCTCTTAAGATTTCCTTCTTGTTTCAAAGCTATTTTCACTTATATTACTACAACATTCAAGGAGCTATAAGAATACTTTTATTGAATTGCAAGACAATGATTTTTTATAATTATTTATTTTTAATTTGATAAATCCACTGGTTTAAGAAAACTCAAGAAAAGATATTTATGAAAATGTACTTACCGGATTTGACAAATGAAATATTGAAGATTATGACAATAATTGAAGCGACATTAGAAAAATAAAATTCCAGACAAATTATCTTTTTGAAGACTAGGCAGCATGGTCTCCGACCTTAGCCTGTTCCAAACGGAACAAACGTACTAAAAAAAAAAAAGGAACCAAAATCACTCGTTTTGAGGTGAAATTTAGTCGTGCGATAAATAATGATTTTTTGATAAACTACGAGTGGTAAATTAGTTAGATATAACAAATTAAATGTGACAATGGTTACTATAATTAAGAACCAGTTACTGAAACATCTATCAAGGTACGTTTTCCATGTTTTTAATATATACGTTTATGTGTTTTATTCTAATGTTATAATTAAATTAATAGGCATAATACGCAATTAACAAACCCTTATAAATTGCTTCCTAAGACGTACTTGTCACGTATTTAAATTGTTCTTGTGTCATTCGAAAAAAAAGTTCTTTGTTTCTCACTTATGATTAACTAATCAAGATCTTACAACGTTTATGTACACAATATTCCTAAGATATACCATACCATTAATAAATTATGTTAACATATCCTTAGATATACCAAGAACCTGTCACCAGAGCAGATATCTCTCTCAGCACTCCGTGGATCTGGGGAGCTCCAAGATCTGACTTTGGATGAAGATTTATTGACAGACCTACTGGAGCTCCCTGGTTGGGTACGGTTGACATCAGCAAAATGCAACAGAGCTACATTTAGAATACAATGGACGAAGCTAAAAACTGTCCCCATAGTACTGGTAAGTTTCAAAAGAATAAATCATTATTATTGATAGTATTAATAACCACTGTTCATGTTGCAACTTCTTGATGTATGTATACAACAGCTTTGCCTGTGTGAATCAGTTTATAAAACTTCCTATAGGCATGTTAATTTAGAATGTTTCAAATATATTTTTAAAATCCATTCATAGGCATATTTAGAGAAATAGGGGGGAAGGGACAGATTATGCCATGCCCACACCAGAATTGTTTATTGCCCATCGCAAGATGCAAGTAAAACTTCACAAAGATATGTCTCAGAATACATATGCACATTTTTTGAGAAAGCAACCCATGCCCTAGAAAATAATATTAAATATTCCATTAAATCCAGCCAGTATTTTTAGCTTGAAAAGTAACAACACCAGAAGGGGACTTTGTACAAAAGTCGATTGCTTGGGTACCTCTGGGCCATTCGTGTTTTTACTGTGAAGCAGTTGTGTTTGCATGGCTGTGTTTCGGTTTGAAAGATGGGATATGGCAGTGAATTTACAGGGTACAGAGGAATAACACCTGAGTCCTCAGGAATGGCAACACATGGGGGGTATCATGGGCGAAACAGTATACTCTGTTATGTCCATGGTACTGCTCATGTCTATAGGCGACGGTTACCACTTTCCATCTGGTGGGCTGTCAGCTTGTTTGCCATTCTAAGTTGTAAAAAAAAAGCCTGTCAACTTAAAATTATTGTATTGAAGTGGTCCTTTATCATTTTATTTAAAAAAAAAAAAAATTATAAACCAAGAAATTAACATTCCAAATACATATATATTTTTTTATTAAACGTCTGAATCAATATGGATTATTAATATTTTAGGTACTACTAATATAATCTACATGACATACATGTCTCACACTTGACATGAGCCCAGTAAGTTTACTGGCTTTGTATCAAGAATTATTCAGATAATACTATCACTATAATAAAATTTAATGTTATATGTAAATATAAATATAAATAATGTGTTTTTGGTCATGTCATAATAATGGCACAATTTTATCTTTCTGTCACCATATTTATCTGTTTAAAAAAAAATACCCTAACAAATTATATATATTCTTTATTGCACTTAAACAATATATTCGACAATTAGTTTAACAACTTGTTAGCAAGGGAGGGAGGAGGCATTTATCTATGGCGAGAAATGTTATTTTAGCTTGGCTAAAATTAAATTGGCTTTCAGTTTGAGAAACCACATGTAACATTCCATAACCTACTGTAACCTATTACTGTCAAGCAAGATGTATGCTTGTTGAAAATATCTTTTATGGTGTTTTGCAGTATAAATATTTGATTTAATATATTAGGCTCTATAGTTTGTCACATTTCCCTATTTTTTTTTTGTAACATAGGGAGCAAACTAGCATGTGGCTCACCTGATGGTAAGAGATTACTGCCACCCATGCAACAGGTACCTGCAACATTAGAGAAATTGCAAGTGTGTTGCCAGCCTTTTAAGAAGAAATATGCTCTTTTCTTGAAGATTTCAATGTCGTATCTGTTCGGAAATACTGTTTCTGGATAAAATAGCATTTTGCATAAAAAAAAAAAATTATTGATGATAATAGCCTATGCTAACGGTATACACTGGTGGGACACCAGTAAGAAATGATAGGTGAGAATGAAAAGGCAGGTCAGTTAGCCCATCGCAATGCATACACCTGATGGTTTCCAGGGAATACCATGTAAAGGTCGACCTGACAGGATATATTGCTAGCAATGTAATCATCAAACGATCAAATAATCCACATTACTAACAATCAATGCAGTATAAATATTTGATTTAATATATTAGGCTCTATAGTTTGTCACATTTCCCTATTTTTTTTTTTTGTAACATAGGGAGCAAACTAGCATGTGGCTCACCTGATGGTAAGAGATTACTGCCACCCATGCAACAGGTACCTGCAACATTAGAGAAATTGCAAGTGTGTTGCCAGCCTTTTAAGAAGAAATATGCTCTTTTCTTGAAGATTTCAATGTCGTATCTGTTCGGAAATACTGTTTCTGGATAAAATAGCATTTTGCATAAAAAAAAAAATTATTGATGATAATAGCCTATGCTAACGGTATACGCTGGTGGGACACCAGTAAGAAATGATAGGTGAGAATGAAAAGGCAGGTCAGTTAGCCCATCGCAATGCATACACCTGATGGTTTCCAGGGAATACCATGTAAAGGTCGACCTGACAGGATATATTGCTAGCAATGTAATCATCAAACGATCAATTAATCCACATTACTAACAATCACTTCCCTCTCCCCCCGCTTTTGGGTATTTCATTTATTGGGTGATAATGGAATGACAACCCCTTTTGCGCTATCGGTATACGCTGAGTGATGATAAATGAGGATGAAACAGATCAGTTGGCCCATAGTGACGAATTCATACAGAATTGACCAAGATGGTTTCCAGGGAGAACCGCTTGGAGGTCGACCTGATATTGATAGCAATGGGGACTAACCTTCCCATTACTAACAATCCCATCTGGTTCCATACTTTGGTTGTTCATGGAAGAAAATATCCACATAAACGCACGGTGGAGGACCGCCACTCATCGAGATGGTCGAGATGAAATTTTAAACCTGACGCTAATAATAAGAAAGTGGTTTTCTCATACTTACAATAGATAATGAATAATGTATTGTTTTTATCTTAACTCCCAAACAATAGATGAAAGATACCTAAACATTGTTGTGTCGAATTAACAGATTGATTGCCTTGTGCGTTGTAAGGTTGGCTGAACATGTTGACCTTGATCTTAACACCAATCATGCAAACAGTTGTATCAAGGATAATAATAGCAAGAATTGAATTGTTATGTATTGAACTTTACAAAAAATATTTTTTTTTTTATACAACTTAGAATGGCAAACAAGCTGACGGCCCACCTGATGGAAAGTGGTAACCGTCGCCTATAGACATGAGTAGTACCATGGACATGACAGAGTATACTGTTTCGCCCATGATACCCCCCATACGTTGCCATTCCTGAGGACTCAGGTGTTATTCCTCTGTACCCAGTAAATTCACGCCATATCCCACCCTTCAAACCGAAACACAGCCATGCAAACACAACTGCTTCACGGTTGAAACACGAATGGGACAGAAGTACCCAAGCAATGGACTTTTGTACAGTCTCCCTCTGGTAAATTATTGCATCAAGTAAAAAGAGTGTTATTTCTCTTTTTATATACAGTAAATATTAATGAGAAGTGATACAAAAGGCGTCCTTATCGCTAAGCAATCTCTTACAGACAACCTTTGGGTATAGGACATTGAGAAAAAGACAAAGGGTAGGTAGGTAGGTCCAAAGTAAACCCTAGCAACCCTATTCCTAGCAATATGGCCCGATTAGGTCGACCTCCTTGCGTTTCCTCCTGGACCTGAGACCATCGTATTGAAACCCAGGTGTATTCATCATGATGGTCTAACTGACCTGCCTTTTCATTCTCACCTGTCATCCTTCACTGGTGCCCCGCCAGCGTATGCCGTTAGCACGGGCGGGGCTATCATTCCATTATCATCCATTAAAGAAAAAGGTGCAATTCTACTAAAAAATTACTTTATATTGATCCTTAGAATAATAATTTCGTTGTAATAACAATTTAAAGATGAAGAGGCGGTGAATGGTGTTTCAAAATAGATTCCACTGTCATTTTAAATTATACTTAATTTGTAATACGTTTTTGGTTCATTGTTGTCAGAACTTGGACGAGGTCCACATAGCCCTGGAAGTATGTTCGGAGCCGCGCGTCGTGAATGCGAGCGCAGCTGGAGCGTTGCCTGTACCCGGCAAATACAGTTATATACACAAGGTAAAGTATATCGTATTATTATATATAGGAAATTTTTAGAAACACATATATATATATATATATATATATATATATATATATCTATATTTATATATATTATTTAATGAAATAAGTTTACTGTTTGCTAACTACGCACAGTGAGGTCGATGACTCATTGTGCATATACAATATCAATAATGAGTTAGACAGCCTTATCAAATTTTCGATAAACCTAAATACACGTTAAGTATAATGATTGTGTATCTATAGCATAAGGATAAAAAAATTTAATCATGGCGCCACACGTGAGTACTTTATAGTACGTTTATTGGTGCCACATAAGACCTTGGCCCTCGGGAGTATTGGAAAATAATGCTTTAATTTAACAATAATCATTTCAGCCATTTACTATCCACTGCTGAACATAAGCCTTCCCCATAAAGGGAGTTTTGCCATATGTGTGTGTGTGTATATATATATATATATATATATATATATATATATATATATATATAAACCGATCAATTGTGTAATTACGCAAATGTGAAAACGATTCATAAGTATTGTGGGTATTTTTTTTAATTTTAATGGGTGATAATGCAATAGTAACCCCGCCTGTGCTAACGGTATACGCTGGCGGGGTACCAGTGATAGATGATAGATGACGATGAAAGCAGGTCAGTTAGCCCATCGTGAAGAATTCCACGAGAAGTAACCACGATGGTTACCAGGGGGAACCATGTGGAGGTCGACCTGATTAGTAACATTGCTAGCATTGGGGCTATTAAGCCCCATCGCTAATAATCCCTTTCACCCTAGTATTGTGGGGTATTAGAAACTGATAGACATATTTAATTTCTTTTTTTTTTTTAATACACACCTATAGAGGATTAGTTGTAAAGGGAAACTTAGTTATTATTATTATACTTATGTATTCGTATTTAATTTCCACAAAATAAAACCGACTTCGATTGTTGAAAAAACAAAAATAATGATAACCCCATGTAACCAACCAACCAACCAATGATAACCAACGGTATTATGTTTATTTTATTCAATTAGATATAATTAATATAATAAAAATAAGAAGAAGCATAATGCATTCTTCTATTGCTAAATTGTCTTGTGCTTAAGTGAATTAGTAACTAGAAATATTTTGTTATAGTTATAGTAGTAAATAATCTGTTTAGATATTATGGGATTGACATGTTAGCAAACAAAAATCCCAAATTTAATGTAGATAAAAAAAGTTGGCCATATTTTTATGTTTTGTTTTGTTATGTTGCAGGTAATAGACGGAATCTCAGTGGCTGTGAATCAAGTGCAAATAGACTTCAATTGTGATGCTTTCACCAGCAGTGTTCAGGTAGCCTATCTTACTAATATATTTCTTTCTTTCTTTCTAAATTGTTTGTTCAGGTAGGATATTTGTTTTAATAATATAATTTTTTTCTTTATAAATTGTTTTCCATAAAAAAAAAAAGATTTGAATCGTGGCAAAACCAGTTATTTTGATTTAAAAATTAAATTACTGAACTAATTTTGATACAATTGCTATGAGACCAATCTTTATATATTTCCTTTCAGATGAAAAAAAATTTTCAAACTCCGTTTACAACTGACGAAGTTATTAGGTTTGTTACATAAAAAAAATATACATATGAATTAGGAACCTTCTTTTTTACTTTGATTTAAAATTGTACTACACAATATCTGTACATGGAATATATATATACATATATATTTTATACAACTTAGAATGGCAAACAAACTGACGGCCCACCTGATGGAAAGTGGTAACCGTCGCCTATGATACCCCCCATGCGTTGCTATTCCGGAGGACTCAGGTGTTATTCCTTTGTACCCTGTAAATTCACGCTTCAAACCGAAACACATGCAAACACAACTAATTCACGCTTGAAACACGAATGGGACAGAGGCTCCCAAGCAAACGACTTTAATAAAAAATAATATAAGGTGCCCTTATAAGGGCAATAGAGGCCGAAACAATGATTCTTGTCTATTTGTATGTTTGTTCCGGCTTCACGCAAAATCTTCACCAAATTCGATGCGATTTTCACAGTTGTATTCCTAAAGAGCTAAATTAAAATCTTGTGTATTTTTATCGTAATACGTCATCAAGAAACAGTCTATTTCATTAGATTTCCTATTCTGAATTCCACGCGTACGAAGTCTTAGTAAAAAAAACTAGTATATGTGATATAATATGAGATTCCTTCCAAAAAATACTTTATTCTTGACAAAACAATAATGGCAACCATATTAAAAGGGTATTCAAAGAATTATAAGGTCTGTGTGATGCAAGGTCCCTATGGATACTAGAAATTAAACAAGCATTTGGCCAGACTAGGACTAAGCACAACAAATGTTTGCAAATTCTGCCAAGTTAAGATAGAAACGTCGGGGAGAAAGGGATTGTTAGTAATGGAGGCTGAGAATCTCATTGCTAGCAATATACCCAACCAGGTCGACCTCCACGCGCTTCTCCCTGGAAACTATCATGGTTAATTCCTAATGAATTAATCATGATGGGCTAACTGGCCTGTTTTCATTCTCATCTATCACCCTTCACTGGTGCTCCGCCAGCGTATCCCGTTAGCGCAGGCGGGGTTACCATACCATTTTGACCAATCAAAAAAAGAAAAAAAAAAAGATAGAAACATCATAATACATTGTGAATGTAGTCTAACCCATACACAAATTATATAAAATATTATTTTAACAATTTTCCTTTACCATATTTTCAACTAAGTCAACAGTCTCTGTTATTATAAATGCTTGAATTTTTCATGGAAATTTCTAAGCAGTTATAAATTTCCTTTGATTTCAGATCTCAAGAGTGACGGTGGAGTCACGGACGCCTGAAGGTCGGAAAGGAGACCTAAGACTGACTAGAATCAAATCGCCCGACACTGGACAGTTGCTTATATTTAAGGTATATTTGAATTAACAGTTTTTACTCGCGACTTCGTTTTTATAGAGGATAAAAAATATCCTATGCCTTTCTCCTTTCCATATATTACGTGTATATCAAATTTTATAGTAATGCCTTACTATTATTATAACGCCAATATCTAAAAAGAAATCAAACTTACTTTAATTTTTTTTTTTTAATATTGATTATTTATTTATAAGGGATTGTTTATTTTTTTTTTCAGGAATTGGAATGGCAAAGCGCCCGAATAGAAGCTAAAGCGCACGGCGTGGCGGACGCTAACCTACCGCCACTGCGGTTGTTGTTGGGCAACACACACTGTCGCATTGTCATCAAGAAGAGATTAGCAGGTAAATGAAAGATGTTGACGCTATGGGTAGCTCATACATATTTTAATCACAATATAACAATATCAACTATATATATATATATATATATATATATATATATATATATATATATATATATACATATATACATATATATATATATATATATATATATATATATACATATATATATATATATATATATACATATAAAATATGTATCATCATATCAGCCCTTAACTGTCCACTGTTGAACATAAACCTCCCCTTATTGGTGATGTCGTCAGAGAAATACTGTAGCCCATACTACGCCCTCCCTTAGTCGCCTCTTACTTAGTGGCCTCTTCTATGCCAGCAACCACAGGGAAAAAATAATGTTTAGTTATTATATTTTGAAAAAATATTGTTTGATAAGCGTGGCTACTACTAAAACCCCTAGCAAAACCCCTCTTATGAAGGAAGGTCTATGTTCAGCACTGGACAGCTAATGGCTGATATGATGATGATGATAGATAGATAGATAGATAGATAGGTAGATACTCTTTATTGTTTCCTCCAAAAGATTACAATAGTAAACTTATTATAAATATAAACAATTACAATGATAGTATATGACTTTGATATTACAATAATATTCGTGTGTGTGTGTGTGTGTGTGTGTGCGTGTGTGTCGGCGCAGACTGCAGCGTGACTGGGTCGCGGCTGGTGCTGCGGCCGGAGCCGCTGGCGTGGGCGCTGACGGACGGCCAGCTGCGCGCCGCGCTGGCCTGCGCCGCCGCCCTGGCGCAGCCCGTGCGCCGCGCCACCGCCGCCGCCACCAGGGCCAAGGCGCTTCGCAAGGTTACATTAACATTGACATTGACACAATATCAGATACTTCCTTCCTTTTGTATATTTTATATTACGAGTTTAGATTATATAGATAGTGTCTCCATACAAATGCTTCGAGAGGGGGGAAAGGGATTGTTAGTAATGGAGACTGAGAATCCCATTGCTAGCAATATACCCAACCAAGTCGACCTCCTCGCGGTTCCCCCTGGAAACTATCATGGTTAATTTCTGATGAATTCGTCATGATGGGCTAACTGGCCTGTTTTCATTCTCATCTATCACCCTTCACTGGTGCTCCGCCAGCGTATCCCGTTAGCGCAGGCGGGGTTACCATACCATTTTCACCCATAAAAAAAAATGCTTCGAGAAAAGCAAAAATGTAACGTTTATTACCAATATTGATGTTACATAGATCGAGGAGCCGCGCGAGCAAATACAGAGCCGGCCGCCGACCGGCGACCGCGACCTGCTGGCGCGCATGTTCGCCAAGCACGACGTGCGCGAGACTTCATATCATCTGCTCGCGCCCAGGATAGACTTGCATCTCTGCGATGATCCTGGATGTGAGTATTACACTGGCTTTATACATTACATTATTGCTTTTTATTTTAATGGATGATAATGAAATGGTGACCCCGCCTGCGCTATCGGTTTACGCTGGCAGGGAGGGATAAATTAATTAATTCGACGATAAATTAGTCAAAATGGTTTCCAGGAGGAACCGCGTGGAGATCGACCTGATAAGGTATTTTGATACCAATAGCAACAAATAAAATCAGGTCAGTTAGCCCATCCTGACGATTGAACAACTTACCTAACTCAGATATATCTGGAAACCATGGTAGGTTCCAAAATAAAAAGTACCCCGTCTCCATCTCTTTTCTAAATGCTATGTCATCTTTGTTCTAAATACTATGTCATAATTGGTTGACACCATTACGTTACAGGCGTAACGAATGTATGTACATACATACATACGGTTGAAGTGTTAAATTGTCAAGAAATAACTAACTCATTACTAGCTTTTACCTGAAACTTTGTTCACATGATCGTTACGATTAACTTTTAAAATTACACATTACATGGTGTATAACTAATAATATGGCTGTAATATTCTTTTACTCAACTTTTTATTCCACCATAAAAATATACAATGGCAATTAAAAAAATCAAGTGAAATACAGTAGCAAAGAGATTAAAATACATACGTAAAGGTACAAAAGGCGATCTTATCGCTAGGGCAATCTCTTATAGACATCCATTGGTTAAAGGACAATAATAATAATAATAAACATTAAGGATAAAAAGTAGTCTATGTCCTTATCCATCTCAATGAGTATTAATTATTTATTTATTTAACTCTTTATTCCACCAAAAACATAAACAATGACATATAAACAATTCAACTTAAATACAGTAGCATGATATACAGGTTAAAATATACATATAAAGGTACAAAAGGCGGTCTTAGCGCTAGGGCAATCTTTTACAGACAACCTTTGGTTGAAGGAGAGCACATAGAACATATATTTATTTGATTTATTTATTTTTATTACTACTTATAATAAATATCAAAATCATTGGATAATCTGTAAAAGCGACAAGAGATATCAAACAAACATACTTTCACATGTACAATATTAAAGATACACCACTATTTTGTCCGAACAGTGGGCAGATCTGAGAAGCCGTCGCTTAGCAATGGTGGCGCGCTGCAAGTGACCCTAGTCAGCATGCAGGCAGACCTGTTCCCCTATCACAAGGCGGCGAACGACAGGCGGCATTGGAGAGGCTACAGGTGACTACAATAGAAAATTTGTATTAAGACTATGCAGAAAATCATTTGTAATGAAAGAAATATCGCATATATCCTTTATTCATTTGTATGTAATTTATACATTAGTTTTATATTTATATTATAAAGGATCAAAGTATATTAATATTTTACTCTCTTATAACAATTTCAAAATTTTCAATTCCATTTCAAAAATTTTCTTTTTAAAAACAAGAGAAATAGAAGGAATTAGTGTGATCATTCAAGTATAAATATAATTCACGTACGGTTTATATTTCGACTAGCACTAAATATTTATAATCCAAATTTAACCTTTATCTTATCTAATAAAACGAAACGAGACTTTAGTTTCTCATGACAAATTTGTGATCATTAAAAAAAAATTCGTAATCTAAACGGTACTGCCTGCCCTAGCGGTATGCGCAGGCGGGGCACCAGAGAACGATAAATGCAGGTCAATTGGCCCATCATGACAAATACAACAGGAAGTAGCCACGATGGTTTCTAGGTGGAAGTGTGTGGAGGTCGGTGGATCCGATTGCGATGACGATGGGAAATTTAAACCTTATTACTAGCAATCCCTTTCACTTATGATATATATTAAGTAAGAGGCGACTAAGGAAGCTAAATGGTCGAGGGATGGGCAGCAGCATCCCTCTTAAAACATCTCTAAAAGCCTTTTACCAGAGGGAGACTTTGTACAAAAGTCGATTGCTTGGGTACCTCTGTCCCATTCGTGTTTCAACCGTGAAGCAGTTGTGTTTGCATGGCTGTGTTTCGGTTTGAAGGGTGGGATATGGCGTGAATTTACTGGGTACAGAGGAATAACACCTGAGTCCTCAGGAATGGCAACGCATGGGGGTATCATGGGCGAAACAGTATACTCTGTTATGTCCATGGTACTGCTCATGTCTATAGGCGACGGATACCACTTTCCATCAGGTGGGCCGTCAGCTTGTTTGCCATTCTAAGTTCTATAAAAAAAAAAAAAAAAAAAAAAAAAAAAAAAGCCTATCTGCAATTGTCAACCCGCCTGCCAACCGTAGCAGCTACTGACAAATCACTTCTTATCTGGGAGACTATTGTTCAGAACTGTACAATTAACGGCTGATAATAATAATATAATAATACAACAATTTCTATGTTCCAGAGAAGCAGCGACACCGCATAGTCAGTGGTTGTCACAAGCATTGTCGTCCTTCTGTGGGACGCTACTCGAGTCGCTGGACCCTAGACCTATTGTGCCTAGTAATAAGGTACATAATAACGTTATTACTCATCTCAAATATTCGCTCCTGTTGGAGATTCGATAACTTTTTAAATACGTGTATGTGTGTGTATACATACGGCTATGCGTGTTTGCGTGTGTTTATGTATGTACACCATAATATGTTTTATCACAGCTGTATATATTTTATAGCAAGCGAGCCATACTGAAAAGCCTGAGGAGCCGGTGTCAAATGGTATCAGTCACAAGCCGGCGGCCGCACGAAACAGCGCTTCCAACACTCCGTCCACTAACTCTACTACCTCACAAGGTAAACAATGTTATTTATTGCTTGCAATTAAAGTGTGGAACCAACTCTCAGCAGCAATATTTCCGACCAGATAAGGCATTAACAAGATTTCACCTTTAAAAAATATTCATATTCCTTCTTAAAAGTCCAGCAACACATCTGCAATTTTTTTGATGTTGCGGATGCCTGTGAGTGACGGTAGTGACTTACCACCGCTCATAGGCACTCGCAACATTTTCGTTTGCCCCCTATGTTATAAAAAAATGTAAAAATACCTTAAATGGCACAACAAATTAGGTATTTATTAAAATGAAATGTACTCACGAGTGTTTTTTTTATTACTTATTTAATAAAAAATTGCTGACTTTACTTAGTTTCCAATAACGTATAGTAAGCCATAGATTCATATTACAAATTTAAAAAAATTATGCATTACGTTGTATAACTACTATATACTAATATATAAATTTTATAATAACATCAAAGTGTTCAAAATCCCTCCCAGTGTCGACAATCACAAACATTAAAATTGAATATCCCACTGGTAATGTTTTGTGATTAAAATTCTGGGATGCCATGTAGTGCAGCCATAAAATGGGCCTTCCCTTCATTCCCAGGGAATTTAATAATCAAGGAATCTTTTTTTTTATATACAACTTAGAATGGCAAACAAGCTGACGGCCCACCTGATGGAAAGTGATAACCGTCGCCTATAGACATAACAGAGTATACTGTTTCGCCCATGATACCCCCCATGCGTTGCCATTCCTGAGGACTTAGATGTTATTTCTCTGTACCCTATAAATTAACGCCATATCCCACCCTTCAAACCGAAACACAGCTATGCAAACACAACTGCTTCACGATTGAAACACGAATAGGATAGAGGTACCCAAGCAAGCGACTTTTGTACAAAGTCTCCCTCTGGTAAGTTATTAACTTGTTGTTATGACTATATGTTTTAGTGCAATAAAGTAACTATATAAAAGTATAAGTGTAAAGTCTGGTAAAGTCTCTGCAGAAGCATCTCTCTTAAAACATCACCAAAAACTAAGGTTGTCAACCTGCCCACGGAGCGTGGCACGCTCTCAAGGGGGAGGCCTATGTTCCGCAATAGATAATTAATGGCTTATATTCACTTTTTGAGAATAATTTTATGCATAATTTATTTTAATTATTATTAAAAACGTTTTGAGCCTCATATATTATCGATTATTACAAGCCTCAAAATAACGAGACTAAATACATACAGACAATATATTCAAAGTGTATCTTATCATTGATTTCAGCGTCTCCCACAAGAACCCGCATATTAGAGCAACTCGGTAAACTGATGACCACTTGCCTCGTACTCAGAATAGACGACTTCACAGTTAACAAGGTATGAATGCATTTTTTATTTTATGTGTTACTACTATACATGATTAAGAACTTTTGAATAAAATTACTACAGAAAGTCGCACCAATATCAAATGAAATCAATATGGAAAATATGAAAAAAAAAAACTTGTATTTATAGTAATTGAAAACATACATACATACATACATATCTGTCACGCCTGTCTCCCTTTAGGGTAGGCAGAAACAATGGAACGCCAAATGCTTCGATTTAAACAAGCCTCTTTCACTTCCTCCACATTCATCAATCTTTTCACAGTTTAAAACAAAAAGGATTTTCTGTCAATGATTATTATCATTTCAGACATTTCTGGCCGATCATGTCAACTCTAAAAACGTGTTCCTATTTTAAATAGTTTTCTACCTTATATCGTTACGACAAATTAACACGTAATATTATTAAACTTTGTTATCATATCACATTATCTTCGACTTCATAAATTACAGTATATTGTTTGGATAGGTGTCGACAGGATCGCGGTCACGCGAAGCGCCGCGACCTCTAGTTGCGGCAGAGAAGGCCACGCTACCCGGCGATGCTGGTCTCCTACATGCAGAGCTCACTTTCTTCTACTATCCTGGCGATGTGTGCTTCCCTGGTATGCAACTGCACAATTGAAATTGATATAATAAGTAGTATTTAAGTAAGCTAGTTGTATTTAAATAATATTGACAGTTTTCTTTACTTATCTATTTTTATTTTGTTTATTGAAAATATTTATTGACATTAATGACCTACATGGATTCTTATATGTAAATAAAAATATAAATTCAGATTAAACGTTTTACTTTAATTTCAAACTGTCAAATTAGTTTATTATCGTATATTGTGCGAATGACCAGATAGCATGGGGAATTCCATTCGCTCCAAAGTGAATAAATAACAGCAAGTAAATTCCAAATAGTAAAACTCGAACGTTGATCCTTCGAACCGGATCATTTTGGTTATATAATATATAATAATGTGTTGTGCTAACGTGTGCAGTGCCGGCGCCGAAGCTGTACGTGCAGGTGTCGCCGGTGCGGGTGGCTCTGGACACGGCCAGCGTGGTCTGGCTTGCCGCTTTCGGGCCACACGTGGGCCGCGCCCTGGTCTCCTCTATCCCCGCCACCGCCGACTCTGAGTCGTCAGCGTCCGCCGGACCGTACCTCGATGTAAGGATGGAGGCCATCATGCCCAAGGTATTACAGATTTAATTTTAGTTTCTTACTTATTCTATCTCTTTGTAGTATCTCACGTTCTCATGAGGTTTCGGAAAATTTCTTTTATATAACCGTTCTATAGTAGATTTTATGAAATCTGGGCCCCATCAAATGTACACTATACATCCATAATATATTCCCATTTTATATATCTTTTCTTATAATTAAACTTTATTTTTTATCACGAAATAAGTTAATAACTTAGCAACTGCAGCATAATGTTAAACATGGTGGCACATCACCGTCATTTTAATTGATATTGCTTGTGGCAATAACATAAGGAGATTGTTAAATGACTATCAGAAACCTAACCTATTTTAAGTTTGCTAACTGTAATATTTTCATATAAAAAAGCATAAAAAAATATAAAAAATTTTTTAGTGTCAAAACACTGTTTATTAAATTTCTTTTATTCTATGTTCCCAATAATGCACCTTTTTCCCTTCAATGTTTGAGCTACTGTACAGTGATCAGACCTAAAATAAAACATGTCATGCTTGTCAATCCCAATAGGTATTTTTTTGCAGGTGGTGTTTTTTTATGGATAATAATGAAATGGTAACCCCGCCTGCGCTATCGATATACACGGGCGAGGCACCAGTGAAAGATGATAGGTGAGGATAAGACAGATCAGTTAGTCTACCGTCACAAATCTAACAATGAATCGATCACGATGGTTTCCAGGGGAACCACGAGGAAGTCGACCTGACAGGGTATATTGTTAATAAATAGGGTTGCTAATCCCCATTACTAACAATCTCTTCTTCCCCCTACAGGTGGTGTTAGAAGCGGGTTCTGAGCACATAGCGGCGCAGCGCGACCGGCCGCGCGAGCTGCACCTATGCACCGCCCGCGCCACGCTCACCAACGTGCGAGATTCACCCCGCGCCAGTTTGTACCACCACGTTATACCATCACATCACATCACACTTCACTTCATCACACCACCACACTCTTATATTAAAAATTTTTGTTCCACAAAAAAACATAGACTGCAATTACGTTTGTCACAGTTGTTGTTGTAATTTTAAAACTAAGCTACTGTCCCAATTTTGGTAAAATTTCTATATATTTCTGTATATAAAAACAGAGATTACGCTCACAGATTTTTTATTTGAAAGGTTTTTAAAGTTATTTATCTAGTTGAAAAGATTTTTCCAAATCGATTCATGACAAAGTTTTTAGGTAACAAACATAAAAAAATACAGCCAAGTTAAGAATCTCCTTGTTTGAAGATGTTTAAAAATGTGGTGTCTTTCTTTTTTATAAAAATTTTTTGGCAAATAATTGCCTAGTAATAGATTTTTAGATCAGGAATTGAGTTATTTGTATACATTAACAAGGTATTAGTGAGGGATGATAGGTGAAAATATACATTTGTTGGAATTTAAGGGTTTGGAATTGTAATAGGTATATTTAACTGTTGGAGATCACACATGGAGTGTGATCCTTCTTGCGAGTGATACTCCTCCATTTCTGTCTTCTTCTTCTTTTCATTTAAGAGTTTCCTCTTGTCGGTGCAACTAATTCATGTATCTTCCTCCAGCCAGCTCTATCCCAGGCCATATCCTTTATCTCCCTATACGACATGACGCCTAGTGTTTCCTTTATCTGTCTCATGTAGTTATTCCTCGGTTTTCCTCTTCCTCTTTTGCCCTCTATCTTTCCTTCTACTATGCTCTTAAAAAAATCGTCATGTCGTATAAGGTGGCCCAGCATTTTGCCTCTTCTATTCTTTATTATTTCTGTCTATATGAGTTTAAAATAAGAGGTCCATTAAAATTGCACGGGAGAATGAATATTGTGTTGCGTAAATTGTCAGCTTTTTTTTTAATTATTTTTTATACTTTTACATTGCATGATTTATGAGTATGAATCATAAGAGATAGGAAATAACGCCATCGTTTGAATAAACTAATGATAATTTACCTAATTTATCTCAATATTTTGTAGCTTTTTTATGTGGTACAAGCATAGGTTAGAATATATTTTTCATGACGTCATTATTTGCAGGATTTCACAATTTCAAGTAACTGTAATAACATTTTCCTAAATACCACCTACCTCTGTAAACATCAACATAAACTAAACATTATTGCAGACACGGCCGGCACTCGCGCCGACTTGGCGTCTATCCTGGCGGCGCTGCGGCGGGCGGCGCCTCCCCGCGGAAGCTTCCCCTGCTCCTCGGACGACCTCGACCCCATACACGAGCAGTTCCTACTGCACGCTGATAGTAAGTTCATACATTATACACCTTTTTACATATACTCTTTCCCGTGGGTGTCGTAAAAGGCTACTAAGGGAATTTCATGATTAAGATATGGGTAGCAGCGTCACTTTTTTAACATCACCAAATCCTAACTGCGGTTGCCAACCCACCTGCCAAGTATGGCAAATACTGGCAAATCCTTTATGAAGGAGGTCTATGTTCAGCAGTAGACAGTTAATGGCTGATATAATGTTGATGAATTATGATTATTAATTTTACAAAACAAAATGAAATATAAAATATTAGACAAGGTTAATATTGCTTCATTGTTGTTACATGATTTGAAAGAACAACAATATCCTCAGCCCTGAAATAATCAAATCGCATTTATAATATAAGTAAGTTATTAGAAAAGATGATAGAATAATTAATTTTCGCGTTGTGTACACATATTTTAAATACACAATCGAGAATTAACGCGATGAAAAAATCTTTGCAAGTAAATAGTACCTACATACCTGCTTCTTTATTGCAGACGTTTCGACGTGGGTTGCACCACGTCGTGATTACAACAATCGGGACGTTTGTGTATTTAAAACTTCTTTTGTTTAGAATCATAGGTTTTTTTTTTAATTTTTCATAAACTTAGCGTGATCTACAGCTCTTCACTTCTAGCTACTGAGGCCTGGTAATATTAAGATGTGTGTGCACAGACCTGGACGACATAGAGCGAGGCAGCGCGATCTCGTCGGAGCTGCTATGGCGGGAGAACAGGGGCGTGTGGTGCCTGCGCGTGGAGCCGCTCTGGGCAGACTTCTGCGGCGCGCGCGCTACTAACTACAAGCCCGCGCCGCTGCTGGACGCCACGCCGCTCACCGCCTGGGTGAGTCCTGGGGACCCTCCCCTGCTGCGCTAATTGGAGGGGGGGAGAGGACACTGTATCAGTGGGTAGGTCAACTTTATGCTCGGAACACGTCCCCAAAATGTGAGTTGTTAAAGGATTTAAGAGAAGAGTGCATTTTTTTTACAACACAGAGGGCAAACGAGCATGCGGCTCACCTGATGGTAAGTGACTACCACCGCCCATGATCACCCACAACACCTACGGCATTGCAGGTGTGCTGCCGTCCTTTTAAAAAGGAATATGCTCTTTTCTTGAAGGTTTCTTTTCTTTCACTATTTTACGTACAAACCTACTGCACAAGCTTGTCTAATATTTTATTCAAGTTCCATGCTGCAAAATGTATGCATATACTTATTGTAAATCACGCATCAATATTTTTCAGATGTGTTTCGAAGAGGGTTTCTCTCGTATATACGTAGTGGCACGTACTTGCGGGCTGGCGGGTTTGCAGTTGAACCACTACCAGATGCTGTTCCTCATGAGGCAGATGGAGAAGATCTCGGAGATGATGGCGTGGTTGGCACACGACGCCGCTAGACAGCCGGACGCTGATGCGGGGTTAGTAGTTTGTTACATGTATTGAAAACTTCAAGTTGATCACAGTGTAAGAAACAACCAGTAGTCCAAGCCCTTTTTTATGTCCCAAACAATTACATAACAATTTGGGTCATGTAGGTTGGTTAAACTATGTTCATTGGATGACAGTAAGATACAGTTCTTAGGTTTTTTTTGATGGGTGAAAATGGTATGGTAGCCCCGCCTGCGCTAACAGGGTACGCTGGAGGAGCACCAGTGAAGGGTGATAGATGAGAATGAAAACAGGCCAGTTAGCCCATCATGATGAATTCATCAGGAATTCACCATGATAGTTTCCAGGGAGAACTGCGTGGAGGTCGACTTGGTTGGGTATATTGCTAGCAATGGGATTCTCAGTCTCCATTACTAACAATCCCTTTCCCCCCAAGTATTAGTATTGATCCATAGAAAATATAAAATTTTAATTATGTCTATCCATTGTTTAATAGATAAGCTTTGCTTTGTTTAAAACCGTGAAGCAGTTGTGTTTGCATGGCTGTGTTTCGGTTTGAAGGGTGGGATATGGCGTGACTATTTACTGGGTACAGAGGAATAACACCTGAGTCCTCAGGAATGGCTACGCATGGGGGATATCATGGGCGAAACAGTATACTCTGTTATGTCCATGGAACTGCACATGTCTATAGGCAACGGTTACCACTTTCCATCAGGTGGATCGTCAGCTTCTTTGCCATTCTAAGTTGTATAAAAAAAAAAAAACTAGATTATGTCATTGATGTTTCTTTATTTTTTTTTCTACTAGATCGATAGTGGTAGGCGTGGTAGTACCGGCAGTGGAGCTAACATTGGTGCTGCCCTCCAGCTGTCCTGGTCAGGAGTCCTCAAGAGACCTAGACAGTGTACCACTCGACTCGTCCAGTTTACAGGATATGAAAATGGGCAAGTTAATACTTCTATAATTTTAAATACACTGATAGCGTATAATCTAGTTAATAAAATATATATTTGCCATAATAAATACAGTTGTACAACTAAATAAGGTACAACTGTACCTATTATGTATAATAAACCTGACCTTTATTTTTTATTCAATTATTTATATATTATAAAACTCGGTGTGCTTAATAAAGTGAAGCATTACTTCACGCCGGATCAGCGATTAATGCTCTACAAATCGCAAATCCGGCCCCAAATGGAGTATTGCTGTCACTTATAGGCGGGAACACCTAAATACCAGCTTGAACCCATCGACTCGTTGCAACGATGAGCTATGAGAATTGTCGGTTATCCCAGGCTTGCAAGCAGTATCGAACCCTTAAGTCTTAGGAGAGATTTTGCCTCACTCTGCGTGTTCTTATCGCTTGTACAACGGATTACAATCAAATGTGCTATGTCTCTTTTTTTCTTTATAATGATATATGTGACAACGTCATCCTGCGCAAATAAAAGGACGATGACAAGAAAATGTTCTTTCTTCCTTTATTCTTTATTGTACAACAAACATAATGTTAAGAACAATTAATTTTAAAAATAATATACAAAGGCGAACTTATCTCTAATAAGATATTTCTTCCAGCAAATCTTTTCAAGTGAATTGAATTATTATTTAAAATGTTCTTCTCTTAATGGCTCTTGACCGCACTATGTCGGCTCACTGTTTTTTTACGCTACGTTTGAAGAATTCATGATATAGGACGAAGGGAAGTCACCATGGGAAAGGCCATTCCACATTGTTACAGTACGTTTCACGTAGAAGTTCACTAACTTATTTAAGCGCGAGCGACCTACTGTGTATAAAGTTATTTGTCCTTTCTCATGGTGTTTGAAGGGAATATATAATAAAAATATAATTTTCATTGAAGGTTCAGAAGCGACAATGGCGCCCTCTATGGTGGACCGAGACAGCGGTGTGCTCGCCACCACGTCGGTGGAAGTGTTCTCCGCGCAGCCGCTACCTGCAGATGAGATGCCGCCACCGAGTCCTGGTCCTAGTCCCGGTCTTACCTTCAGTGGTTAGTTCATGATTTTATTTATTTATTTCTGTAATACATACTTTTATAAACTGCAATTATTTCAAATATTTTACTTAATAAAATTTTGGCGGATAGTTTTTTTTTTATTTTCGATTAAAACTGAAAATTGCGTAGTGTAAAAATAAATAAAAATAAATTTGAAAATACACAAATGAATCCCTTTCATATGATACCTCATTTAGACTAGTAGGTTAATTTAAAATGTTGAGTATCCGTCTTGGATTTCTATTACAATATGTGCGGGTCAATGATATGTGAAACTATTCCAAATTTCAAATCGATAACATTAGTTTTTGCTGAGATATAGCGCTGTAACGGACCAATGGACAAAGCGCATCCTAAGAATTCCTATGTACCTGGGTTAAATAATTTAATATTAGACGTATGACATGTTAATTATATTACGATTATAACATAACAATATTATTATTGTTTATAGTTTACACAAACATTAATTTGTAATTGTATTTTGATATCTGAAAAATACTACCTACAAAGATTTACATGCTATTGAATATGGCGAAACATACTGAGCATTAAAAAATAAATTGTAACATCTTATTATGTAAGTATGTTTCAAGCAAATAAATTATTATTATTGTGGCATTGATATGGAAGCGTCCCCCCCCCCCCGCGCAGGGCTGTCGTCGATGCGGCGCGGGCTGTCGTCGCTGGTGTCGTCGCTGGACGGGGCGCTGCGCGACGACGGCCGCAGCGACGCCGCGTCCACCGCGTCCTCCGACTCCGAGCGCTACGTGCTGGTCGGGCTCGCCGCCGAGTCGCCCGACGACGCCGACGTCGCCTTCCGGTACGAGCGCACTGTTATACCCTCCTAGCTATATCTAAGCTTTGCCACCATGCATCAATACGTCCAGTAATAATACATATTAAGTCAGAATATAACCACAATATAAGTAATAGCACATAAAGGCAACACACCCAATCTTTTTAATGGATGATAATGGAATAGTAACCCCACCCGCGCTATCGGTATACACCGGCGGGGCACCAGTGAAGAATGATAGGTGAGGATGAAGTAGGTCAGTTAGCCCATCGAGACGAATTCAACAAGAATTGTTCACGATGGTTTCCAGGGGGAACCACGTGGAGGTCGACCTAATAAGGTATATTGCTAGCAATGGGGCTGTCAAACTCCATTGCTAACAATCCTTTTCCCCCCAACACACCCAATCAGGTTGACCTTCACGTGGTCCCCCCTTTGAACCGTCTTGCTGAATATTAGATTTATACGTCACAATGGGCTAACTGCGGTGCATTAATTAATCATGACCATTACAGAGAGTTCGAGCACGGCCGCACATCCAGCGGCGTGGAGGTGGCAGCCGAGGTGGTGGAACGTTCGTCGTCACCCAGCGACCACTCCGTCACTAGCTCGTGTCGTCGCCGCGACGTGGTATGACTACTAGAATTTCTTACCTCTGCATTAGCATATCCATCCCATCAATGTTCCTGTGATGAAGCAGCTGTACACGACGTAACATTTAGGGAAGGGGAGAAAAATGTTATGGCACGTGGAGAAGAAGGAGTGTTAAAAATCTTTAAAAATTGCGTTATGTACTTTAATTTGATTATATGTTTTTTTTATGTTTGTTACCTTTAACTCGATCATTTTTAAACTTTTTTTTTCCTTGAAACGATACATTTTCGGATTGATACCATTAAAATTAATCAAAATCAGTATTTTTTTTTTAATGGTTTTGATGCGATTGAAGTCTATGTTTTTTTTATAATTCAAAACCTTGTTATGAACCCAACGACTTAGCAATATGGAGACCTCTTAGATTATATAAATAGAGAATCGAGCCTCAAAAATAGGTCAACTGTTTGTCATCAGTATTCTATATACTTACGCATAAAATGTATCTTAATGTATTATTTAATAAATAAAATAAATGTTTACACATTAAAAAGATGCAGAAATTGTAAGACAAAATAACTATAGAAGTTATAAAGGAACACTCATAACTATTTGTCATGCAAAATTGTATGAAAAATTTGACCCTTCTTTTTTTTTTGAAACATTTCTATAGAGACACTATCTATATAATCTAAGGGAAATCTCTGCTGAAACAAAAGACAGCAATATAGAGCCCATCAATTGCTGTCCCCAGATATCGACGTGTACGTGGCGTCTGAACAACATCCACGTGGTGCACCAGAGCATCAACGGCAAGTCCTGCATGCGGCTGGCGGCGGACGATCTCAAAACGGACGAGTGCTCCGCCATACCGTGGGACGAGTTCCAGGTAACCACTCTTCACGTGCTTCCTGTATAAAGTTCAAATGTATCTGGCAATTCTACTGACATTGGTGTGTTATAAAATAGAAAAATTATATTTTACTGAACTAGCTGCTATCTTGCGGAAGTCCATATCACTGATTATTTTATTAGAATTATTTTATTTAATTCCGCTACCATTAATATGTGGCAACTGACTAGACTGTAGACTGGCAACACTAGAAGATTGACTACCATTATTATTACCAGAAATTATACAACCTTTCATATTAGCTAAAAAAGTCTTAAAATATTAACTTTTCTACTTTATATAATTTAAAATAATAATAAAGTTTTCTGAATCTTTGTATTTATTTTATATTTAGTTTTCGAAAATTTGACCATATTTTTCACTGTAAAAAGCAGTTGAAATAGCTACCTTTTCAGCTGGGACTTAATTTACACACATACTCTTCTTTATAACATCCTGCATAACCACATCACACCAATATATCTTCGTAAGCGGTGTTAACGATATACTTATGTACTTATATAATTGTGTATTTTTATTTATGTTTAAATAATTAATTAATCAATTGCTCCTGTTAGAGAAATGAAGAAAATAATTATACAATCAAACACAATATTAAAAATGTTATGTTTTTTTTAATCAAGCAATATTTCAGGACTTTATCTACGTATAGTATAATAGTACTTATGATAGAGCTCATTAGATGAAATAAAACGATTTATTAACTTTATGTGTCCGTCAGAAAGCAATACTCTTGATAGTTTTTTATTACTAGCTACATATCAATCTGATATAAGCATATTCAAACTTTTTTTGTAGTGACTGCAATTAGATTATGGGGTACATTGGGATTGGCATTGGCATTTTCAAATCATGTCTGAAAAATTATTACCTCTCACAATGCTGATGTATGTACTTTATTATATATATGTATATATATCTATATGCTCATGTCTATAGGCAACGGTTACCACTTTCCATCTGGTAGGTTCTTTGCCATTCTAAGTTGTATAAAAAAAGAATCTATTTATTTATATATAAATTTACTGATATATAATTATATTTTTATTTAAGTATTTATACTGTGTGTTCAAATGTATAATAGATATTTTATATGTATTTTTTTAACAGTAACATTTATGTTTATTGATACACATGTATTCCTATGTAACTATGACTAAACTATCAATTTATCTCAAATATGGGGTTTGCTGGAAGATTTGTCTTTAAAAAATAAACTTGTCCATGTTCACTATTATATATAATTATTGTTGTAATATAATACCTTTTGTGTACAATAAAAGAATGATAATTTTTTTTTTGAAAATACAATTCTAACATTCCGCATTGATGTCAGTAGAATTGCCTCTTTACCTGATATGTCATCATTCATTCACTGATTATACACCAAATTGCCACATTTTGCCCAATTCTCGATACATTTCAAATTAATCAACCATATACATAATTATTTATTTTTCTTAACATTGTTTCGTTTGAACAAAGTAACCAGTTGTTTTATGGTCGTAACGTCTACGTCGTAAATTGTCTATGGTACAAATTAAAATAAAACAACCCATCAATCGCGTAATATTTTAATGTACCTCTCTCTCTCTCTTTCTCTCTTGTTGTCTAACACCCCCATTGCTAGCAATATATCCTAACAGGTCGACCTCTACACGGCTCCTCCTGGAAAGTATCGTGGTTAATTCTTGAATTCATCAAGATGGGCTAACTGACCTGCTTTCGTCCCTATCTATCAACATTCACTGGTGCCCCGCCAGCGTATATTGATAGCGCAAGCGGTCTACCATTTCATTTCACCGATAAAAAAAGTCTTTTGCCCACTACATCGTAAACGTATCTTCGTTCGTTAAAAAATTGAAAAACTAATGAAATAGTCCGTTTATAGATGACCTATTAAGATAAATCATATGCTAGTTTTTAAATTAAACCTGTAAGAACACAACTGTCAAAACCGTATTCAATTTGGTGCAGCAATTGCTCGATACCGGAACAAATATACTGATCAACAGACAAAATTTCCAAAAATTATTTTTTTTAGCATCTATTGATCTTAAATAAGTACCATTCATGTCACTTGCCAGCGCAATTTTGTAAAAATAAAATACTAAATAATATATTAGAAATAATCGACTGCTTACTTTGTTCAATGCTAAATTCATACATATCTCCTTAAGTACGCAATACTAATCATATCGTCATAGTCGTAGAATACTGACGGATCTTTATATGTAATCTTTGTCAGATCCGTCAGTATTCTACGACTATGACGATATCACATTACCGATGATAAATCAAATTTATATTCCCTCTGTAAACTGACGATTATTTATTAATTATTTCTATAGCATGTCTTACATTAACCGATATTTATTTGTATTTTAACAATTTATAATTTTCTTACATTAAACCTCTACCGTGTTATTGTTAATTTAATATCTAAGTGGAAAAAAAAAGGTATTTATTACGTCACTTCCGTAATATACCATATAATTTTATCATTACTTTCAGCTATTTTTAAATATGTGACTGTGTGTAAATATTCATTATAAAAAAAAATACATAGTTATTTTGGTAATATATAATATTAACGTTGAAAACGTATATTAAAAGGAATCATACACAAATTTCTCCAAATTGGATAGTACGATAAATAAGTTTTTTAAACCTTAAAAAAAAAAAAATAAAGTCTACTCTATTTCTTTGTATTATTATTCTTGTATCTATTATCTTGAAATCTATTTTCTTTTTTATTTATTTCAATGGCAATCGGTCGTTTTTACGATCATTTCTGTCAGCGTCATATATAAGAGGCTCATATCGTCGAAGAAACGGCTGTTCACGTAATTTTGGAATGTGAAGCTGTGGCTCCTCAACGTTTAGAAATCCTCGGAACAGTGAGGTCGCTTCGTGAGGCCTGTGAAGATCCCAGGAAGCTTCTGTGCTTCTGGGCGGAGCTGGACTGGTTGTACTAGCCATGACGCATATGCACAACGGCCCAAATGAGATGCTAAGCGCGGAAAATAGAGTCCAATTTACATAACATTACATTACAAGAGTCTCAAACATAAATTCAATTATAAATATTCACATTTTTTTAACCCTTTGAGTGCCGACGAGCGCCATCGCACTCGTACGTATTGCAACTAAAAGTGCCACGAGCGTCATAGCGCTCGTAAAATCAGTCACTGTTTAGCTTGCTGTAAAAAAAATATTAAAATTGTATAATTTTTGTATTTTTTTAAAAGGAGATACAGTTTTTTTAGAGACAAGGGTAAATGACATCAACACGACAAAGATTTGTTTGGCATTTTTAAGTAGATACGAGTAAAAATCAATGGCACTAAAAGGGTTAAAGAATTCGCGCCTTTTTTTCGTCCATCATTGTCCCGTTGACATCTTCGAAACTAATTTCTACTAGTCATTGTTTTTTTTTTTTTTAAAGAAAGAATTAGAAGTTATTTTTATTAAAATATTCTAATTTACATATTTATATTTATATAAATACTAGGCAATTTTTTTATTTTTATCTCTACAAATATCTTCATTAATATAAATAAATATTGGTCATAATGAATGTGAAACAGTCCATAAACGTTTCCAACGTTAAAATTAACATGGTAGAGGTTATTTGCATGAATGTGCCACTGTATCACACCACGTTCCATATTTAAATCCGTAAGATCTAATCGTTGTTTGACATAACAATGGCATTGTTTCTTTTGTGCCAGTGTTTTAAAAAAAAAAGTAAAATGACAACCCGTTAAATAGTGCCATCCTTGTCTATCGATGACGATGTGACAAGGACGACATAATACTATTGCGTAGTGACTCGGCACTGAGGTCAATGCATCCGTTTATTATCTAACTATGTGTCTATGTGTGTTCTCTATTGCAATTCCCGCCCGCTCGGCTATCGTGACCGAAAGAACCGACTCAAGGTACTTCTGCACGATCTATAGATCGGCCATGTTTGATTGACACCATGTAGTGGTATTGTTCAATTAGTTGTAGAGGTTTTTGTGTCGTAGCCAAGGGGGTTTGTCTGTGTATGAGTGGATGAGACGAAAGATGTTTCCGTCACTGTCACACAAGGTTGTATTCCTACCTAGCTTAGACACCAGTTCTTTTCAAACAAAACTAGTTATAAGTATATAGGCTTAAAATAGCTTTTGAAGAAAAATAAATCATATATTTATTAATACTACATAGTATGTGACGTCACACTTTATTGTTTACATTAATGCCGCCATGTAATACATGTCACAAATAAAAATATTAAATTTTTAAATTCAGAATTCAAAAAAAGCTTACGCCTGTGTAGTGCAAGCGCACTTAAATAATCGTTTACTATCAGTCAGGCTCTATTCTTGTTTATTACCTATAAAAAATTGTTAATTCAACTTTATAAATTAAATTTGAATTAACAAATGCTCGTAAATTGTTAATAACTAACGTTTATCTACTTGAGTATTTCCCTGTAAAAAATACACACTTAAAAATAAACAAAAAAAAAAAAAAAATATATATATATATATATATGTTATAAAATATATTTTAAAAGCTTATCCTTTGGAACTTATATATATAAAAATGTGACTGGAAACACCTTTGCAATCGCTTCACTGCTACATTCTTTGTTCTAACCAAATCATTTTTAAGTTATTTATACGCCTTCTGAAGCCTACTCAGGTATTGTATATAATTATTCCGCTTGTCATGATACTACTCGTATATATGCATGTTTCCTTTATCTGTATCCGCTATACCTAAATATAATAATACAAAACGTTTGAGCCAATCATTATAGAATACAACAGTAAGATCGCCAACTTCAAAATAGGTTATCAATTTGATTGTTTTTTTTTATATGTTTGTTACCTCATAACTCCGTCAATTATGAACCGATTTGGAAAATTGATTTTTTTTTTCTATCTGAAAGGATATACTTTATATATGTATATATATATGTGTATATATATATATATATATATATATGTGTGTGTGTATATATATATATATATATATATATATATATATATATATATATATAAAGCCAAATTGCTTATATCAAAATTTTCAACTTTTAGTTTTCAATCAAAATAACTGGTTTTTCTATCAAATGATTTCGATATATATTTTTTTTTTTTTGTGAAACGTAATCTTACTAAAATTATGTTATAAACATGTTAGGCTAACGCCACATTTAGCCTATTTTCGGTCACATGAATATTTACCACAGCGAGTAAACCACGCGGAGTCGCGGACTACGCTCAGTGTAGCGCATCACATATGAAAACGTGCATTCCGTAGTTGTCGATCATCCGCGCGCCGAAAACCGAACACACAACGAGAGTGTGTGTTAGGAAGCGTCAATTAATGACGTGAGTTGATTAAGAGGATGAGGAGTCGAGTGGAATCTCACCAAATCTTACGTTAAAGTGATGGAGGAGGAGGAGGGGGGGGTAGATTAATCGTCAAAAATATCTCACGTAATTAATGGACGCCCGCTTACGTCGATGTAATGACCGATCTTTCGTGTAGTGTGACCGACAATGCGAATTGTAAGCAATGTTATGTATTTGCGCTCTGTCGCGGGTAATCCGCTGACCGAAGATCGACCCAATGTGTCGCTAGTATTGGGGGGACGAGATTTTTAATATTATGGTTGCAGTGGACTTAGTATTGTCTTTTTTTAGTATACATAGCAAAGACATGATATATATATGTAATATAAAAGTAAATATATATTTAGAATTGTTAGTGCATCGTAGTTGTTTCTTCAAAATTATCTGTAGATATTAGGTTTAGACAGTAAACCTTTTTAGTTAAATAGTTTCGTATATTTTGAAGACTAGTGTTTTTTTTATTATTAATACAAAATTTTAAAGTATTTAGTATGTAAAATCATCGCCGTTCCAAGTTTCATCATAAAATATCACGAACAACGTAAATACCCCATGATATCATGGTATAATTACCACTATTAAGATTCTGGTAGATTATAAAAGTTACTCTCATTACTAAAACATTCTTAAACCGTACAGTAAACCAATACAACAAGCCCAGGTTGTATATCTCTGCCTTAGTGTCATAATATGCTTAACTTACAGAATGAATTACCTACTTAAAACTGCTAATTAATTAGTACTTGTATATTCCATAAAAAATCGTATAATATATATATATATATATATATATATATATATATATATATATATATATATATATATATTGAGTAATGTCCAAATGTGTAAATTAATGATCACCCATTACGATACCGCCCATACCAGTCCGATATCTGTATTGATTACTAGCGGGATCTTTTCGATATTATATATTGCATAGTTAATATATCTGTTATTAAGCTTATATATGTATAGATATTGTAACTGCAATATATAGATATTGGTATATATTACCCACCCTTACTACCTGTAGAGTGAAGAATAAAAATCGATTTAAGTTTGAAAAAAAAGTACGTTTCTGGGATAAGAATCCGCAAAACCCGATCACGTAAAGTTACACTGATTATTTTGTATGCAATTTTAAGTTTCATAGACATTTTGCGTACTTATTATAGTTGTTAATCGTCTAATTAGATGAATTAATAATTGCATGGCTATGATTCAGTTTGAAGGGTGGGATATGGCGTGAATTTACAGGGTACAGAGGAATAACATCTGAGTCCTCAGGAATGGCAACACATGGGGGGTATCATGGACGAAACAGTATACTCTGTTATGTCCATGGTATTGCACATGTCTATAGGCGACGGTTACCACTTTCCATCAGATGGGCCGTTAGCTTGTTTGCCATTCTAAGTTGTATAAAAAAAAATTAGAACGGTAAATACAAAATTCATAATTGCTTTAATTCAGAAAGTAGATATAGTTTATTGCATGCGTGTAGTACAAGCACATTCACCTCATTGCAATGAACATGATATATATATAATGTATTGTGAATGGATATTAAGAGCGTCCATACCTGAGCCTTCTAAAAAGATCGTTGTAAAAGCACTTTTTAAATAATCCAATCAGAATTCGGCTTACTGTACTTATACTATTGTATCGTTACATTTATTAGTTGTCTTGCTTTATTCCCTATGTTTTAAAATGCAAAAAATAAATAATACTCATTCATTTTTTAATTTAGAAATGTTAATTTTTTTAAATTATTTTTAGTTTTTTATCTTCTTTCGTTATCTGCAATCCGCTCTTCTATAACAGACATAATCGAATAGTATCTTGTGTGAAAATTATCATTCTGAGAAGCAGTCCACTGACAGCTCTCTCAGAATAACTTCATAAAGCTGTTCAAGCTCTAGTGTCCAAGTTTAATACAAGATATCGTCTGTTTTGTATTGTGCTGCGAATAGTTCTATTTTTTAAAGTTGCCAAATAATTCTAACCAAAGTTCCAAAGTGTGGCACCTTGGTAAGATTTTGTATGAACGCTCTTAACCGTGTGGTCTGGGAAAATTTTATTTGGCTCTTATAAATGTCCCTCTTGTTTACAGAACGTCAAATATCAAATAAACCTATTATAGTATTTCATCTTTTTCTTTTCCATTAATTTCTCAATTAAAATGATAAAACTAATTGTTAAAATGGATTAATATCTTTTATTTTTTTTATGAACAAGAGACGAGTTCATAGAATCATTCTTATTAATATTTACTGTATTTGTTATTTCTCTTTTTACTTGGTGCAATAAAGTGTAAATAAATAAAATAAATAAATAAATCAATGTTTGTAATTATATAAACGTACCTACCACGATTTGCAATGGCCAATCTGGGTTGTTATCTATACGACTGTGGGGACAATTCTAGAGTGAACCCTGGATCGAACGCTTAACTTAAATTTAACTTAGTAATTGTGAAATATAAAAATATAATAGAGTGAACGAATAAATTATTTCTCTGTTTTTTTTTTTTTTTTGTTATTCAGTTAATTAAATAGTTTATTTAAAGACTACTGTCTATTTAATAAATATTTAACATTTACAGTCAATAAAGAAAATCACTGAATTATAAAATATAAATTTTTCCAGACTATTTTAGTTATTATTTGATGAATGTAAAAATGTGTCCATTTGTGTTCCCCATATATGCTTTGTGTATATACTTGGTTTTTATACATAAACGTTTTGTTACATAAGTTATAGCAGTACGTATACTACACATGCATTAGTAAACAAATATCACTTTGTATTATCGTTCAGATACAAATTAAAATGTATTATGAGTTATTTTTTAAAACATAAATTACTACATGAATAGACTATTTATTTTTTTAAATTACATCATAAAAAATAATATATAAACGTGTACAATTCATTACTATAGTAAATATTAAAATTTTATTAAGTATATAATATTATGCTCTCTCTGTCTACCTTGAAAGGGACTTGGCGTGAATATGCAATAAATTTGTTATAATATACCATACACTTATTAAATTGTCAATTTTCAAAACATTTTTTTTTAATTATGTTTACATAACTCTTACACTATTTATAAATCACTGATATAATTAAAAAAAAAAAAAAAACTTTATATAAAAATCACACAAATTATACATGTAGTTTAGTTAAGTAGCCGAACACAAATATCTAAATTGCTTCGTTGGTATGTAAATAACATATGTGTATATAACAGAATAAGTTCGCGATGAGAGCTCGCGCGTACTCCGAGCCGCGAGAACGTCCTGAAGCGGAAGACGAGCTAGCGCCAAGAGATGCGCCGCGTCTAGCCGCCCGCCTGCTCAGGACGGAGCTGCCACGCCATCTCGATCAGAAGGTATACCCTTTTTATTCTTTATTCTTTATTGTACACAAAAGGTTATTGAAATGTAAAAACAAACATAATAGTGCACAAGGGCGAGCTTATCTCCAATAGAGGTTTCATATTTATTCGCTTGCTATATGGTAAAATAAGATGTTACATATACATAGGTATGTACCTACTTGTATATGTAACATCTTATTTTACATTTACAGGCAGCACCTGAGGGGGGGGAAAGGGATTGTTAGTAATGGAGACTGAGAATCCCATTGCTAGCAATATACCCAACCAGGTCGACCTCCTCGCGTTTCCTACCATGTATATCCCATGTTCCTATCATCAGAAATAATGTTTATGGTAAAACAAAAAACGTTGTTTTACCATATACATTATTTCTAGAACTATACATGAAAATATATCGTACTACAATTATTATATTCGATTGTCATCTTGCAACCTTATTGCGGCATATAAAAATTACGATTAAATAGCAGGGGTTGATCGTAAAAGCGTGAAAATTAGAATTTGTACGTATTTTTCAATGTTAAATCATAATAAAATAAAAATAAAAAAAATTGACAAAAAAATAAAAATTTGAGGTGGGTCACCCCTATCATTGAGGGGTATGAAAAATAGATGTTGGCCGATTCTCAGGCCTACCCAATATGCACGCAAAATTTCATAAAAATCGGTAAAGCTGTTTCGGAGGAGTTTGGTGACAAACACCGCGACACGAGAATTTTATATATTAGATATACCATCAGTGTATACTGATAGTGTAGGCAAAATCTCTATATCTATTTTCATCTCATTAAAAAAAATTCCACCGTTTTTAAAAAAGAGAAGTTCGTCATCATAAATTTATTTACAATCTACGTTGCCTTACAACTTTGCAGGGTGAACCCACAGGGTTGGCACCGTTTGAGGAATTACTCGAAGCGCGAGTACGCGATCTGAGCATCGCCCTCAACATGAGCACAGCCCTAGCACTTGCTGAGTTCATTGAAGACGAAGTCATTGCTCCACCTATGCCTTTAGAGGTAAATAAAAAACTAGTATATTTATATTTAATGATAATTTTTTTTTTTTATAGCACGACATGTGACCAAATCATTCTGAACAAACAACAAAATATGGTCCTTGAATATGATATGTAATGTCGTTTAATATCAATTAAATCTTGTTATGTTTGTATGTACATCATTTTTGTGCATAAATTACGACCGGCAAAAAATAAAATTTTTTGGCACTGCGAATATAAATCGAGTATGTTAAAAATACATTAATTTGCTACCGATGTTAATCTCTTACGCAAGTACGATTCTTTCTTCTACTACACTGTTCTAATTCTAGAAACATAAGAATACTCTCTTCTTTGTTTTTTTATTGTTCATTGCAACCATGAGTATTTTTGAAACCAAAATAAATTTTCATTTCATACCCTCATAACCTTTCAGGTGTTAATAGAAAACGTGAAGCTCCACCTAATAGAAGACCGTCTGACCCGTTCCATCTCATCCCCACCCCCACAACCCCTAGACATCGATCTGACCACGCTCCGGCTGACCAGGGACACGGCCGGGGTGGTCCGCCTCGGACCTCCAGTATCCACACCCTCGACAATAGCGTCGCCAGCCACGCCCCAGCCACAACCAGAACTTGACGAGGCTAGGGAGAAGATAGACAGGTTGAGCAGAGAAAACGAAGAGTTGAGGAAGAGGCTTGTCACACTCGCTCGGATAGCTGAGGATAACAGGGAATTGAGAGCGTGAGTATTTTAAAAAATAATATTATATATATATATATATATATATATATATATATATATATATATATATATATATATATATATATATATATATATATATATATATATATATATATATATAAATCTGTGCACCGCCATTTGCTCTCTCTGTTTGGCGTGGTGGTTGACTGGAAGAGAATGCCATCAGGCATTAAGTCCGTCCTGTAGACATTTTTCTATGTATGCGAAAATAGATAAATAAATAATAACGTAGGACGACCATACATTATATACCATATAAGTGTTTTAACTGAAATAATAATGATGTACCTCACCATAAAAAGAACGTGAGCACCCATGAGGTTTTCTAGAAGCCGACATACCTACTATGCAAGTACTAAGAACTACAAAATTTTCTAAACTGTTTACAAAACAATATAAATATAAACTGTGAGTAAGAAAAATAATTGGGATACATTTTGTATTTCGGTCTTACTATTGCTGCCACCAAATTCGTGCTGTTTCCGTTTGATAGGTCAGATTGGTAATAAAATTACAGGGTACTGTGCCTTATGAAAACTTATTACAAAGGTTTTTTTGTGATAGATGAGAATGAAAACAGGCCAGTTAGCCCATCATGATGAATTCATTAGGAATTAACCATGATAGTTGCCAGGGCGAACCGCGTGGAGGTCGACCTGGTTGGGTATATTGCTAGCAATGGGATTCTCAGTCTCCATTACTAACAATCCCTTTCCCCCCTTATTACAAAGGTTGGAGCCGAATGGATATTTACTATCTAATTGATTGTATGTTTGATTGCCATACTCACTGTCATTGAAGATTTTCAGGTCACTAGAATTGGCAACATGCGAGAGACAATCTGTACTTCTAAGCATACATTATAGGCTGCGGTAGCCCTTTACCATAAAATGAATCTTGACTGGTACCCAAGTCGTATTTTAAAATACTTATCAAGGTCTCTATGTTCCAGCAAAGTAGAGGAGGCGTCGGTGTTGCGATCGTGCGTGCACGCAGCTCAGCAGGAAGCGGCCAACCTGCTCGCAGACAAACAACAGCTGCTCGATGCAATGCGGGTGTTGCAGGTAGATATTTATTTACTAGCTAGTATCCCCAAACGCTTCGTCCACGTGACCAGGATAAATATGGCATATTACTATTCCAACGCATATATGTACCAACTTTTATGAAAATTGATTGGGCCGTTAAAATATCAAGATAAATACTATTCTTATTTTCAACCGAATTGGAAAAAGGAGGTTATCAATTTGACAATTTTTTTTTTATTTTACGCGTGCGTGATATCTTTGCCAATTTGTAAACTATGTTATACTCATACATACAATGGACCAAATGTGACGCTTAGCGCGGTAAATAGAGTCCAATTAATATTACATTACGTTTTTAACTATGTTGATGGTTATCTTTTCAATTGAAATCATTGTGTCTATACTAACTATAGATAGAATGATGTTATACAAGAATAAATACAGGCTACCACTTAGTCGGTGCTCCACATTTCCCCCAAGTATAATTTTTTTTGTCTAAAATTAAGTACTCTGTTCTAATTTGTGAAGATGTTAAAAATTTTATCATTATAAAACTAACTTTATTTCACTTGGAAATACTTTTTAAATGTACTATTTTAAATAAAATTTACAATTATTAAGCCAGCCGAACTGATACGATATCGTAACTTTAAAAAAAAGGAGCATACTCCTTTGTAAAAGTTCCGTAGCACAACTTCAATTCTTCGGGTGTAGTGGGTGATCATGGGCAGCGGTAGTCACTTACCATCAAGTGAGCCCCATGTTCGTTTGCCCCCTGTAAAATGTAAAAAAAAAAAATTAACTCTCTCACACCCCTTGAATTAGGAAATGTAACGCACAAAGTTAATAAATGAGACGTCTTGCCACTTGAATCTCTCGTAATAAACTTAGCCTGAAGAAATAAATAAAAAATACATTTGTATATAAATTTAATAATTAACAGGATCAGTTGAGCGGTTGCCGCGGGAAAAGATAGCGGTCCCGAAGCGGTCAGCCGCACAGTTGTCTCGACTGCACCGCGTGTTGCGGCGACCACCGCGCCTAGACTAGCTGCCAGGACCTACGTACGACACCTACGACTACAGCATTGTACGTTAAAGGACGTTAAATAAATATATAGTTTATAGTTTCTGCAAAAACATGGCGGTCCTGTGGCGGTCAGCTGCACCACTGCACCTCGCCTTACAGCGGTCACTGCATCGAGAACTGCTACCAGAAACTACATATACCACTTATAACTACAGCATTATACGGTAAAGGACGTTTATAAAAAAAATGTATTAAATAATTTCTGGAAAAAGATGGCGGTCTTATGACAGCCAGCCGTACATCTTTATCGCATTATGCGGTCACTATCGTGCAGTCTAGCTACCAGAATCTACCATATCGCATACACCATCTGCGTTTACTGCATTTGTACGTCTAAGAACGTTTATAAGTAAAAATATAGTTAACTATTCCTGGAAGAATGGCGGTCTAGTAGCGGTCAGCTGCAGAACTGCTACCGTACCATATGTTGACGCTGGAAAAGCAAAACGTATTAAGGGCCACTTTGCCCCATATTGACTTTTATATATATAATTGAATTCAGGTTTTGAAGTAATGTTCAACTAAAGGACTTTTATAAGTAAAAAGTTAGTTAATTTCGTGACAGAAGAAATTATGCCTATTAAAATATGGTAAAAACAGATGTACAATAAAAGGCATTTGCAGACTTATCTGGCCATCTTTAGACACAAGCTAATCATAATATTTTATTTTAGTCTTCAATATTTGAAAGACTGTTGAACATTTGAGGATCAGTAGGTACAATATGAGATCTGATGGTAGTAATATATAAATTTTTATGTTTGATTCTTGAGAAGATTTTTTTTTAACAGACTTCAAATAGAAGCACGTCCTCAATTCAGTTGTATTATTTTTTTATAATTACATAATTCTGTCAGTTCTGAACTGATTTGGATTTTTTTTTTATCTGACATGTAAATATATCCTATATTTACATGTTGGCCCATAGAAATTTTATTACAATCGATTTTGTGGATTAGTTTTTAGGTCAAAATAACTTGATTGGCCACAACTGAAGTCAGTTTTTTGTGGGACACAATCTTTAATTACTACAGGTGGGAATAGGGTTTTAATGAGTGAAAAGAAAATTGTAATCCCACCTGCGATTTAGTTATACGATTTCGCTGACAGGCCATCAGTGAATGATGATAGGTGTAGATGAAAGCAGGTCAGTTAGACTATCGTGACGAATTAACCACAATGGTTTCCAAGGAGAACCGCTTGAAAGTTGATCTGATGATCATGGGGCTAGCAATATACCCTATATTGTTAGGTCCATGGTTTTTAGACCCCATTACTGATAATCCTTTCCCGCTGTGGAAAAAGGGTCAGCCTTGCTTTATAAGGTATGCAAAAACCTCTCTCCCACCGGGGAAAAGAGATTATTAGTAATGGAGACTGAGAATCCCATTGCTAGCCCATACCTATATATACCCAACCAGGTCGCCCTCCTCGCGGTTCCACCTGGAAACTATCATGTTTAATACCTGATGAATTCATCATGATGGGCTAACTGGCCTGTTTTCATTCTCATCAATCACTCCTCACTGGTGCTCCGCCAGCGTATCCCGTTAGCGCAGGCGGGGTTACCATACCATTTTCACCCATCAAAAAAAAACCTCTCCCCCACCTCATCCATCTCTAAGCTTTGGTTATATATATCAGGCTTATATTATGTTTTTTAATAATATGTAATATATCAAGAACCGAATTGTTATATATACTATCTAAGAAGTAAAATTTTAATTTATCTGTGGTAGATAATTGGATAAGTAATGTAAAATGGATTGAGTAATTTACACCACAAGGGAAATGACGTCAGAGACTATAAACATTATATTATATATACGAGTTTTGTTATTTATTAAGAAATGAACTATGATATTTAACATTGACATAGTGTAATATTTGTTAGATTAAGTATAAATATTTAATCCAATAAATATTATATTAAATATAAACTCCAAAGATAAAGGACAATTTGTGATTCGTGTATTATGTACTTAATGAAGCATTTACTATATTATTAGGCAAAAAAAAAACAGTTTTACAATCAAATTTTCATTGTAAATTTATTATTACGCGACAGGTCAGGTCTTCCTATGTCATATCAGAAGGTTATTGGAGATTATACGGTATGTAATAATATGTGGAAATACCTGCATTGGTATGTGTAAATGGTCATTACATATTTTTTTTTCCTTTAAGAAATTAACTAATTATTGATTTAATAGCTAACAGAATATATAAACAATAAAAAAAAGATAATGTCTTTTGTCTAGTGAGGCTGTTTCTATCTTTTATCTTTCTGAGATAAAGGCTCTAAAATAAAATGAGCTGCTTTTAAATTCGAGATAAAAAAAATATTAATAATTTATCAAACAACTCGTTTGTTGTAGGTTTCGACCATTAAATATATATTTTTTATTTATGTACATTTTATTTTATATTCGACCTAAAATTGTTTTAAAAAACAAACTATTAACTTTAATAACGTCACGTTAAAAGTAAGTGTTGTTGATTTTAAATCCAGTGATATTTATACAAAGTCATGGGTAGTAATAAAATGTTAATAAATCTGCTTTCATATGGTGTAATTTAGATACAAACTAACTTTTGCCTGCTACTTTGTACACGTGCATTTCAGAAGTAAGAGACCAATTAAAAGAATCACTTGTAGATGACGTATCGAGTAAAATATACCAAATTTTAAGTTAGACCTTCAGATAAACAACTGTGAAAACCTCATCCAAATTGTTGCAGTCGTTTTTACATGATGATGTAAAAACTACTGCAACAATGTTTCATGGAAGAAATCACTTATTAGAGATAAGCTCGTCTTTAAACACTACATTGAAAAATAATTGTTCTTACAATATAGGAATATGGTAGTGTACAATAAAGAATAAAGGTTGATGACGATACAAACAAACAGACAGACAAAAGTCCTTACTCATAAAATCTACAAATCTACTGTAACTATTACACTATTTAGTCACTTTCTTTCAAACTGAGAATTTAGTGTGAAAGGAAGAGACAAAACGGTTCAATAGCTAAAATTTTTATATGAAAAATTATAAAAAATAATGTTTTAGCTTCTGTTGCTCTTTTCAAGACTCCTTATTTATTCTTAAATATCTCCCATACACAGACGTGTCATCTAGTTGCAATTTTATTATATTAGTAACTTATTAATCGGTATTGATACCAAGTAATTCTCGTCAGTGACTATATAATATATAAGATAAGGGTGCCATCGTGTTGAAAATTAAATGTAAAAAAAAATCAAAAAATTATAATTAAATTGAAGAAAACTGTATAAGGAAAGAAATAGGTACTGTAACACTAAGTTTTTCTATTGGCTTTTAATCTGACGTTACTGTGTTTAACAGGGTACTGACATACAAAATCTCGTGTCAACTTCAGTAATCTTCATCTCTTTTTTTTTTAATTTATTTATTTGAAAGAAGATTAACTCTCTGATCTAATATTACATATCGTCAGATATACTATAATAATTCTTTACCAATGAATAATATTAACCGGTAAAAAAATGTAAACCGTAATAAATACAAGGGAATAACAGATTCCTAAATATATATATATAAATTTATTTTTGATCTTTTCTCTTAGTTTCGTTTCTAAGAGCTTTTTTATATTAAAAAAAAAACTGGATGGTGCTGCTATAGCTAAAATAGTCTTTTTGGACGATTTTATGAAAGATACAAGTAGATTTTATTATATACTTTATAATTATTTTCATTTACATTCAAATTGTTTTACCACAGCGGTAAAATTTATAAACTTATATATAAAATAATATTACGTGTGCCTGTTCAATAAATGATTATTCACAAATTTAATTTATTAATTATAAATTAATAATAATTTATAATTTCCAATAATTTTGACGTTTTAATTAATATTATCTCTTCTAGCGACGCGTGTCTAAAGTGACGTATTCCTTAGTAGTTCTGCTAAGGTCAAATCTAATGAGAAATCGGAATTTATATCTATTTAGTCACATACCATTTTGCAATAAATGATTAGAGATAAACTAAGAATTTGTCCAGGAACGATGAATCATAACACCTAGGGTATACAGTACACAACCTTATGGATTAAAGTATTTAATTTTACACCTTTTATTTATGATGTATGTGTTTAAAAAAAAAAAAACCTTTAGAACTGCGTGTAATAAGTAAACATATCCCATGTTTACTAACCAGGTTAAAACGTAACCTACTTCCTTCTCCTTTATCTCATAGTACGTATACTAAATTTAATAGTGATTAAGCCATTAAGACGCTAAGAGGTAACAGACGAACTCACTTTCACATTTATAAACTTAGTAAGGATGGCTATCAGTTATCTAGTACCCATAGTGGGAGTACATGCTCTGTTTCATTCAGGACTAGATGTCCAGTGGTACAAATACAGATCATTTATTCCTGATTTACATAATTACACATCCAGTTTCAGTAAATTATGTGAAATTCAGTGAGTTATTCCCATTATAAAATGTATTGTATTCTAATGTCGAAAAACAGTAAAGTTTCTATATAAAAAATTAATAAAAATGTTTAACAGTAATATTAATTTATAACAATAATAATTTTGTCACTTCAAATCGTAATTATATTTTTATTACTAGCGTCCCGCCCCGGCTTCGCACGGGTACACATTACATCACATTAGAAACCTCTAAAATTATCAGTGTTTCTCTACTATATTATGCATGTATTATACATGAGAACCTTCCTCTTGAATCAGTCTATCTATTAAAAAAACATATTAAAATCCATTGTGTAGTTTTAAAGATCTAAGCATACATAGGGACAGACAGATGGGAAGCGACTTTGTTTTATACTATAAAAAAAATAATGATTTATTATATGGTATTTTTTTAATTATGATATAATTTCTAAGTTAATTGTGGCCATACGATACGCTAATATTTTTACAAATCTAAGAGAAATTAATATAAATACATTAAATTACAAAGTTTATTTAATTATGATTTATAATCAACATGTGCTAATCTATGAAATGGCAAAAAAAAAATACCTGAGACCTAGTGGTATTGTTCCTATGCAACTGACTGTGTCTTTCAAGATCTCAAACGTTTCTAGTACACGTAAATATCAGTCTAATATGTGAATAAGGTTGTTGAGGGCCATGAGTTGAGGAAAAGACCAAAGAGAGATGTATAAAAATGGTGTGCAAGACTGAACATAGGATTTTTGGACTGACTGACGTGAATTTACGGCTCGGTATGTGAAGTTTTTGAAATTTAGACCCCATTTTTATGTTCTTTGTATAATTAGCAACAATTTTTTTTATTTTTTCATTTACAAATAGCTCTTATTATACAAAATACAACAATATATTAAAGTTAATATAAAATTCCTTTAATACTAATACTAATTATAAGTAATCCCCCAACGCACCACACCGAGGCAGCGTACTCAAGATACTGGCAGCATTACCTCTTTGGATTGCCAAACTTATCATTTGCAAAGTAGCTACCAGCTCTTGGGTCACCAGTCTTTGTATCTATTTGCAATGTCATATCTATTTTCAACTGACTTCAAAGAAGTACGTTATTGTTTATATTTCTTTCCTCATCTATCAGTTATAAACCGATTTGGAAAATTCTTTTTTTTTTATTTGAAAGGATATGCTTACAGATTGGTGCCATAGAAATTCTATCGAATTCCAGTTAGTGGTTTTTAAGTTAAAATAACTGGTTTTGTTGCCTACCTGATTGGTCTGTCTGTCAGTCTGTCTGATTGGTCGACCTGCCAGGGTGGGTACATTGCTAGCAATGGAACTGGTAGTCCGCATTACTAATCTTCCCCCCTCCATCCTATTATAGGTTTTTTTAATGAATGATAATGAAATGATAACCCTGCCTACGCTAACGGTATATGCTGGCGGGGCACCAGTGAGGAATAATAGGTGAAGATGAAAAGGCAATTAATTTAACTTATCGTGATGAAGATGCTTGGAATTTACCACGATGGTTTCCAGGTGGGACCACGCGGAGGGCGACCTGACAAGGAAGGGTATATTGCTAGCAATGCGGGTTGGAAGTTCGCATTACTAACAACCCCTCCCCCCCCCTATCGTAGCTTGGACAACATAAGGACATAAAACAGTGTAAAAGTTAATATTATAAAATAGTAATTTCTCAAAATTCTCAAATTACAGTATTAGGTTATGAATATGGAAGATTCAACCATAGTTAAGAGATAGGTTTAGGAATCGAACCCAATATGTAATTGCATATATCTTTATACATTAAGAATTCGTATTTCAATGAAGAATTCATTAGTCCGTTTATATTTGTCGACTGCATTTAATGCAAATAGACTATACTCGGTATATATATATATATATAAATTAATGAAATCACAGTGTTTTTGCCCTTTCCAAACATTGGTTTAACTTCATCAAGAAGTCTTCTTCAGGTGGCGTTTAGAAATGAAAAAAACATAAGTCATTAATTTCTCGTTATATATGTATGTATATGTATAGACATTGGATAAAAAATGAACATAATTGTTTAAAATAATAAAGTCTATATCTGTATGTAAAGTTGCCAGTGACCACATTGTATAAAGCAATATGGCAGCTGAATATCATTATGGCTATCAATGTTATAATATTTAGTCATAAACATATAAGTCGATTGCTTGGGTACCTCTGTCCCATTTGTCGTTTCAACCGTGAAGCAGCTGTATTTGCATGGCTGTGTTTCAGTTTGAAGGGTGGGATATGACATGAATTTACTGGATACAGAGGAATAACACCTGAGTCCTCAGGAATGGCAACGCATGGGGGGTATCATGGGCGAAACAGTATACTCTGTTATGTCCATGGTACTGCTCATGTCTTTAGGCGACGGTTACCACTTTCCATCAGGTGGGCGGTCAGCCTGTTTGCCATTCTAAGTTGTATAAAAAAAAATCGTAATCACGTTTCCATTATTTTTTTCGTGCCAAAAGCGCAGACTGTGTTTATATAAAAAAAAAACAATGGTTGTAAATAGTTAAAAGTATTTTAAAATATATTTACATTTAATTTCATTGTTTCCTTTATCAATTTTCCCCCCCAAAAAGATGTAGTTATTTTTATATGATAATTGTAAACTTTAGTGAGATTTTTAGATATGTCTTTTTGAAAATATCGGTAAATGTTTAATGGTGAAAATTATGTATAAACATTTTATTATCACTCGTTATTGTTTTGCAATATAATGCATCTTGTGTAGCTATTGTATAGTAATGTTCCATGTAATAATTATATACATTTGTCTCCTTTTTTAATATGTGTTAGTATTAATGAAAAATGTGCCTGTATTCTTAATTAGGTACATAAATGTTAGACCATATACATATAGATAGCGCGTCGACAGTCAATAAACGTCCCAAAAAACGACCACGACCACGACGACGACGCGTTGTTTTTTTTCTTATTCGTCTATCCAAATTTTCCATCACTTGTTTAATATTTACAACAGTAGTGTTGTATTAATAATGTAATAAATATAAATAAATAAAATGACGGTTATCGTACTAACTGTCACTAATTTCAAGATTAAAACAATTTTAAAACTTTCAGAAAGGGCGCCATTTTTTTAAAATGTTTTGTCGAGAAATTTCTAATGCATCTATCTATATGTATTTGGTCTATAAAACAAATACATAGCAGACAATTTATTGGTGTTGGTGAATTGTAAACTGATGTGGGATTAACGGAATCCAAGGTTGTCCCTCTTATCGAAGTAATATGACAGTATATGTGAAATTAGGTTTAATTTCTTAATAATTAGAAAGTGTTCATCAACACCTATAACTATTTTACTAGTCTACGAGTCTGTGACTCTTCGCTTACAAAATGGTCGTGTATCGTAGCTATACCCTTTTGTATTTCTATCTCATAAGCAAATATCCGTACCTTCATATCTAATTGTGAACAAGTTCGTCTAAAATAACTATTGAATAATTTAAATAATAGAAGAGGTTATGAAAAACATGGCCCCTTATTTATACTACAATTAATGTCGGTAAAAAAAAAATTGTGGTATCCACGCATTGTATCGCATTGTTCACTAACAAATACCATATTACCTATATGTACTGTACTAAAACTTAGATTCTATGGATATTTGTTAATGTGATCCAACTATGTAATCACATATTTAATATATCATATAATTTGTATCTATAACAGAGTTTTTATTGTATGTAATAGTTATGCAAATCACTTCCAGCTTATTTTATAAGAAAAAAAATCTTTGCATCTCTCACACGAGAGACGCCATTTTATTCGTTCTGTATCAATAATATCAGTGTCATCGTTTGAGATCATAGATCCCAGCTGTCTGAATCTAATAAAAAATAGTATGATAGGAGTAATAAATGAATATTCTAAGAGCGTTCTATCTTTGCTCAGCTACATTTGAAAACAATTTTTTTTGTTCTATTTTTTTTTTGTCTAACTAAACCTATCCCATTTCATACCTTTTTTTCTTTTAGTCCAACTCTATGATTAAAAAGTATATTCACCTGTTTTCGCGTATCACTAGCGTGTCTTTGAGATAAATTTCAAATCACTTTGTAGGTAGCAATAAATTATTAAAAAATAAATTTCGGCTTTAACTACTTTCCGTCCCATACTATAAACTTGATCACTCTTCTAGACTTATCTTACTTCTTATGTAGCAGTTTGTGATTTGTTCAGCAGGTACTGAATTGCTGAAACTGATTTGCATAACGTAGTTATCGATTTTACTCGTATCTTTTTGTCTGTTATATCCGAAATACACTCCCGATGAAAGGGTCGAAAATATTGAGAATTACATATAATTGAATTTCCATTTCGGAACATATTGTAAAAGGGGAATGTCATTAACCATAATAATATACAGTATATGAACTTATTTTAATATAATTGTATTGTATTACATAAATCTAACAGAATGGCAGTGATACATTTAACATATTTAACGTGTCGCAAATACAGAATTATAAAGTTTGCTAGAAACTGAACAACTTGACTCATTAGAGAATAATTAAAATAATTTTCAATCCACTCCGTGCGGTCACGTTATTCGCATAAAATCAGTATTTTTTTTTAATACAGCCAAATATATGAAAAAAATACAATTATATATGTATAAATACAATACTCTGTAAAACTTGTATGTATGAAATATCCAAACTTTATATTATATAGATAGAGCATCGAGCCTCAAAAATGGGTCAACTTTTTGACAGCTAATTGTCAAATTAGCTGACTCGTTTTATCAGTCGTCTATATTGTATATTTACACATAAAATGTATCTTGATGTATTATTTAATAAATAAAATGTGTGTTTACGCATTAAAAAGATGCAGAAATTATAACACATAATAAATATAGAAGTTATAAAGAAATCACTTATAATCATTTATCACCCAAAATTGTATGAAAAAGTTGACCCATTTTTCTCGAAGCATTTCTATGGAGACACTATCTATATAATCTAAGATCCAATCATTATCTTCAGAATTCAACTAATAATCTTGAAAAAGTTTCTTCTTGTTTTACCCATTAGGTACAACAAAACCCTAATATTGTCTTAAGTATGTACTATACTATTTTATTATTGTACTATTTTATACAAGACTGGTTATGTTTCTGTAATCTATGCCTACAATTTATATATATATATATATATATATATATATATATATATATATATATATATTTTTTTTTTTTTTTTTTTTGTTAAAAATAGTTTTGTTGTATATTATGCGCCCTATTTTCTGCGATCACAATTTGTAATGACTAATAAAATATTAATGAAATATTGAAGAATTGGAAATTATTATCTATAAACATAATTCCCTTCAAATGGTTTTTTAATGATATTGTGTGTTTAAACTGTTATTGCGATCTGTCTAGTGAAGGAATTGTTAAAAATACATTAAATATTCTATATATATACATAAGGTTTATTTTATTTCTTACATATTAATACAAATGAAATTTCATGAATATTTGATACATTAAGGATAATAGTAACTGCTTTCTACGATTTTATAAATAAACGTTAAAAATTGAAATTAAAATCTGCCGCCATTCAACTTTTTATTGAAAGAATTTTGTGACGACTCTGGCCACTAGTCCTTTCGACCCCGATTAAAATGTTCAGAAATTAATTATTTTACACTAAATTCACTGAACAATATAACAAATTCACGTCACATTATAATTATTTTACTTTATTTAGCACGATTTTGTACAAGGGTTTAGAAAATTTACAGACAAGTAGTTTTTTGCCACCAGTCTATACTGCATAGTGTTACTATATCTATTTCTAGTACTCGGGCTCAATTTGAAAAATGTCTAGTCGTCTAAAAATAGAGGTTTTCTAAATGACTAGCTGTCGTACTCTCTTAGCTTTATTCACGTAAATCAACACAAAGTATTCTATATAAAATTAATAATGCTGCGTTACAGTATAACCTATTCGTATACTAAATATCGATTCAAATCTGTTCAGTAATTTTTATTTAAAAAAATTACAAACATCCATCCATCTATCATTACAAACTTTTGCGTATAAAGTATTAATAGATTTAATATTTAAGTAATTAATGTGCAATTTATTAGTTTATATATATGGTGTTGTCTTCAATGGCTCTGATCTAATAGTATATATAATCAATTTTTGATAATAAATATCCCTTGTACATTAAAAAGACGGATCTTAATTATGAATTAGATTTGTCTAAATTAAGATGAATACATCCAGAGAGCAAGTTCTTACTATATTAGGCTGAATGAAAGAAAAATATGCTAAATAACCAAAATCTATTGTTCTTATAAGATTGGATATTTACCGCACACAGTTAATTGCACTTAAAATAAAATATACATGCTCAAAAAATTTTAAAAGCTTCTTTAAATTTAATGCATCATTTAAAATAAAGTAATTATATTCTTGTTGATCTGAAAACCTATAAGACTGTGTTGAAAATATAATTATTTGTAGAAATCTAATACGTCTATAAAACGTATTATCCGAATGCATAACTTGACAGTACATCAAGAGTGTTGCAATAAATAAAATAATACTTTTTTCTTGGGATCTTTATATATCTATTGACGTGGAGTACAGAAAGCAATATTAAACAGTAAATACGTATATTATGCTTAATAAAATATTAGAGTAAATAAGTTGCTTAGCAACGACATCGTCGTCGATAAAACACAAATAAGTAGGTCTATCCATAACTCATACTCCTAACAAATTCACTGTATATTAATTTAATATTAATTAAATTAAAATTTTGGAAAAAGTTGTAGTTGTTTTGAATAATATTTGATATGAAAGATCTGTATAGCACAGTATTTTGTAATTTTCGTGGCATTTGTGTTCAAAAACATCAATTATTAATTTTCTTCAGATTCATTTTTGGTATTTATTAGCCAGCTTATTCATTACTTCTTGCAGTACATGTAATAATTGCTAAGATAATTATAGATTTTAATGTCATTTTGCAAAATAGTGTTGACACATAGTTGCCAAATATATTCTAATAGTAATATGTATCTGTTTCAAAAAGAATACCTAACTTAATAACAGTGGCATTGCTCTCATACAAAATTAACTATTTTTAATGTTGTATATTACTAGCACGATAAGTGTCATTTTATTATATTGAATTAAAGTTTAGAAGAATTCTTAACTCTGGTTATTTATCGTTTAAATAATTTTAATGCAAGGGTTTTGAAGAAATTAATCCTTATAAAATATTATAAATGTCAAAGTGAGTTTGATTGTTTGTTTTATTTTTGTTACTTTATAACGCCTTAATGGCTTAACCAATCATTCTGAAATTTTACATATACGTGCTATACGTTCTATTTCATCGTATATATACGATGAAATAGAATATAGGCTACTTTTTATTCCAATCACGGACGTAGTCGTGAGTAAAAGCTAATAACTAGAAAAATTAAAACTCATAGAAATAAGCACAGTCAACACAGCAATATTAAAATAGAATTTTAATATATGAACGTCGTTCAAGGTAATAAAATATATATTTCTCTGAATCCCAAAAATTTACATTCCATTATTTTAAAGTCTATTTAATACTATTGATTTCTTCTGAATCTTTTGGGGTAATTGAAAAGAATGCTGGTAACAAAAATACACGTGAATCAAAATAACGTGACTTTCGCATTGTGGCAACATTTTTAGTTATGGCTGATGTTTCTATTGGATAACATCTTAATGACCGTTGCCGAATTTTAGTGTTGAAATAAATCAAGATTCTTATTCGGTGTTTGAGAGTGAATTTTAATAATTATTAAATACAGTTATATTTTGTGTGAATTAGTGTATTACGTGGTAACTAAACGGTGTTAATAGAAAAAAGGAATGTTTGTTGTGTCCGCATATTAATAGGATCAGTGTAAAATCTATTGGATTACGGTTTCGCTGTTTATTTAATTGTTGTGTACTACAGGTGAGTTGCGAGTTATTTTTGTTATATTTTTTGTGTAATGTTCAATCGCGGGACTGGTTTTAATGCCACGAACACCGTGTAGCGTGCTGTGTCGCAGAGCGGCCGGGTTTCCTCGCCACCGAGATAACGGCAGATTACAACAGATTCTGATAAAATTCTTTTGCTTCGTGACATTGAAAACTGTGTGCAAGACTGAATATTAAAATTTAGACATATTTTTGCTGAAATATCTTTTCTATTCTCACTTGATGCTCGCGTTGAGCACGGAATTCAGTATATTTCATGCTCCATTTCCTAATAAAAAGCTTTTATTACGAGAAATCTGAGTGAGAGGTATTTACATGCTATTACTCAGTTATAATAAACAGTTTACGAGTGATAAAATTTCTTATTAGCACTAAGAAGACATTATAGGTATTCTATAACTAAAATGCATGATAATGTTTGTAGTGATAGCTTCACCTCGATTGGCAATTAAACAGAAAGTGAAATTATAATTACTAACTAGTACATGTATTTATTCTAGTATTACATATGCTGCTGTTTCTATTGTTTACATCACAAAATATAGTTGAAACTTACAGTTTAATTGTGAAAACATATATATATATATATATATATATAATATTAATATTAATATCAGCATAGTTGAATAACACTTGACTGAAGTTATTGGGCCCATAGATCGATCCAGATTTTTTAAATTCATATTAAATCAATTAAAAATGGTTCTTTAGAAGGCATTTAAAATGAGTATCCAGTAAGTCACATCAAAAGTCTTTATGTATGAGAAAGGCTGCATAGATAATCTTGATATTAAGACAGTAATCAGTGATAGTATTATTTATTAAAATAATGGAAACTAATAAATAATATATTAGCTGTATAATTTAAAATCTTATTGGAATCAATTCTGAACTGTTATGCTGTTTTGAAATTATAAAATTTTAGAAAATAAAAATTCTTAATATATGTATATTTTGAATGGGAACATTGATTACTGAAGATTGGTAAATAATTTTTCCTAGTTTGATCCCTGTCATGTAGATGAAATTGCAGGTGACAGGTATTTTACAATATATTAATTTTTTACCACAACACACATACATGTTTAGGTATATGTTTTTACCTTTATTTACAAGCATAAAGATATATTGACATAATAGTAACAGGGATTAGCGGCTCCATGCTAGCAATATACCCTGTAAGATCAATCTTACAATCACCCTGAAAATCATATATATGTATATATGTATATATATATATATATATATATTCTTTATTGCACTAAAACATACAGTAACAACAAGAAGTTAATAACAATGTTAGCAAAGGCGAACTTATATCTAAAAGAGATTTCTTCCAGTCAACTTTATACAGTGGCATAGGATCATTTAATTATTTAAATAGCTTTATTGATTAAATAAGAATATGGTACAAAATACAATATTACAGTTCAACATTTAAAAATAAATTATATATATCGGTCTTAACACAAAACAGGATTTGTTTATTTGTTACATGTACATATTTATCTAATCACTTTAATATCATTGTAAAAAATTTCAATGTTGAATTTGTAAATTAAAAAGTATTTATTTAATTATTCACTCTTTGTTGCACTACTTAAAGAATAATATAAATATAAATACACATATGAAGTACAAAAGGTGGTCTTATCACTAAAGCAATCTCTTCCAGACAAGTTTTGAGTAGAGGAGAAAATAAAAATATAATAGTTTTTGGCAGAAGTATATCTAATAAAAAAATGCTTATGTTAAAAAAATATGCAAAATAAACTTATCAGTACCATATATATACCTAGGTACTTATAATAAGTAGTATATAGTACTTATAATAGTATATGTTTATTTTTTAAATATCTATATCATAACAGTCCATTATTAAAATATAAAAATTTATAAATTTATTAAATGCTTTGACTTGACACTAATTTAATTTAGAGAGTGTATCTATGATAATAAATTTATTTTAACCTTTTCATTGAGTCCTATACAAACAGACTATATAATCTTATTTGTTTGATTATTTTTTAATGCAACAAATTTGATAATAAAGTTTCATAGAACGAAATTATACTTCCTCAGTTATTGTATTAATTATAAATTCAGGTCTCGAGTTTTACTCTGTTGAGTAGTATTTAGGACAAACTTTTCAAATTTGTCTTTGATCTGGGTGTTCTTAATTTTACTCTCACATATTCAGACTGCCTGGTTTCATAGAACATGAGGTGATTTAATTTTAATTCTAGGAAAAATGATGTCATTATCTTTTGCTACCTGTAAACTCCATCTTTCCCTGTCTAAAATAATGTTGAGTCACATAAATGTAGGTAACTTATGTGTTAATTTAGGATACTATCCCGTCGAAATCTCGAAATAAAACACTATATCGACACTGAAAAATTACTGTTTTGAGGTTGGTCACTTAACAAAATTAGATAAGAAATAGTAGATGGCGCTGCAATCGTGATTTGTGTTTTTGTTGATTATTTTGTAATTAAAGATGATTTGGAGTAAAATTTGTAAATTGGCGAGTAATTTTTATTACTATGTTTGAATGTGAAGTGACAGAAAAGATTGCATGCTTTTACTAAATGAATTATAACCCACACAATTGTAAAGTTTTTTGCTAGTATGTGTTTTTTAAAAAATTGTACAATATAAGAGGATAAGGACAAAACTTATGATACATTCTTATTATATCCGTAAAAAGTAAATAAAACCACCCGCCAATTTAAATTTTTTGCTTCCAATTATCTTTAATTACAAAATAATCAACAAAAACCACAAGTCTTAATTTCAGCGCCATCTTTTTTTGTGTTTTGATTAGTGATAAACCACTTTAAGTGTAATGTAAGTGTAATTGCTTTTTTATTTAAAACTAGTTTTTACCCGCGACTTCCTCCGCGTGACTAAGATATATTCATTGACTGAAATAAGTAGTAACCTATGTTCCTCTCTATCTCATATAGTATATGTATCCCAAAATTTTATAGTGAATTAAAAGCTGTTAAGGCACTAAGAAGTAACAAACAAACAAATTCACTTTTTCCTTTATTATAATATTAGTAAGTAAGGAGTACAGTAGTTAATAATTAAAAACACTAAGTACAATTTAAGACTTTTTCAAAAAGAGTATATTAAGATTTCTTCAGGGTCGGGCAACGCGCACGTGACACAGACGTGCAAGCGTCCACAGACTACAGTAAACATTCATCATCAGACATCATCATTCATATGCTTGTTTGGCACTTTCGAGGTTTATAAAAAAAAAAAAACTAATGATTATAATTCGGACATTCCAATTCCGAAATAAAAAGTTATTTAAAAAATTCCTCTATGGATAGGATTCGAACATGCACTCCGCCTAGAAGCGGTCAAGCATTCGTCACGTTCAATGTTCGTATCAACATTCGGTCTATTGACCGCCGTTACAAGTAACCTAATTGGCACTCCGCCATGTCTTGCAATTCATAATTTTACAGCTTCACACTTTTTATCTAACCTAGCTCCGTAATTAGGCGCACTTTGCTGTAAAAATATATTCAAGAAGCTCATTATTTTAATTATCACCTCATATTTTATAACAGGAGTTATCCGAAATTGAGTAAGTGTCTGGCCATCTTATTAGTACTACCACCTTATTAGTACAATCTTAAGACTTTTTTTTTTATAACACAAAGACACCAAACAAGCCTGTCTTGATTGTAAATTATTTTTTTCTAGTAGTAAAGTGTTAGCAACGGAGCAGCCCAGGGGAAAGGGATTGTTAGTAATGCGGATTATCAATCCCATTGCTAGTAATATGCCCTATCAGGTCCACCTCCACGTTGTCCCCCCTGGAAACCATCGCTGATGACCTGCTTCATTCTCACCTATCATCCCTCCCTGGATCCCCGCCAGCGTATACTGTTAGCACAGACGGAGTTACAATTACATTGTCATGTCATTAAAAAAAATGGAACACCCATTGTTACGTGTTATTTATCAATCACTTTTATTGGCCCTTTGCTAGCAATATGTCCTCGAATCCAGTCTCTCCTGTCATGATTCACTTATAGGCTATTAAACATGTGTAACCATTATTAGCACCCAGTGTATATCGATAATGCAAACGGGTAATTCTATTTTCATTCCATTAAAATAACTGTGTTACCAACACTGTCATATCAGGGAGTCTACCATAAAATTCCGAGTTTTCGGGCTCAATTTCGTGTTTTCGTTCATACCAAAATCAGCCCAGTAAATGGAGTCTAACAATTCGTTCGTCATAAATCCTACCATAATAGTCTTAAGGAACGATATTGTAACATTTTTATTGTATATTGTGATGTAATTTTAACATCAAATTTTTGTTTCGTTCGGCCCCGTTTTCGTTTCGGAAAATATTTCGGTAATATCAATATTATACGTCTTAGGGAACATTTTCATTTCGCCTTTACCTTGAATGTCGCCGCCTGTGCCTACTCGTAAATCCAAACTTAAACAGCCAACGAAAATAATTATATTTGATAAGTATTTATATTAAACATGGCCGTAATTAATTAACAATAAAAACTTGCAAATTGAAATACCAAAACGAGGCCGCCAATGTCGTCGGTTGAATAACGGAACGGTAAATTGATACCGTTTCGTAATATTTTGATGAGTGTTATATTTTATAATCCGATTTGAATATGTATGATATTAGTTGTTGCCCGCGGCTTTGCACGCCTTTACATTTAATAACTGCATCTAGTCAATGCAATCTGCGAAAATATACAGCCATATTGCCTGTCTGTGCTCACTGTAGGAATGATTGGAAAGTTTTATTGTATTGTACAATTTTACGAGCGACGCGTAGTTTCAGACGAGTATCAACTGTCGCGCATGGTTCATGTGGTTCTATTAAAAATATCGAATGGGGTATAAAAAGATCCTATACGTTTGTAGTTAAAATTTCGCGTGAGTAACCTAGAGGTCTACCATGAAATAAAA